CAGCAACAGATAATGAATAGAGAGAAGATCTGTAATCCTCCCCTCAAAGTGCTTCCTAAGAGGATTATATAGCAGTGTAGCAGAAAGAGCTTGGATTTTAGGATCAAACCAAGAATTCCATTTCTACTGTACGGTAAGCTATTCAATATTACTCAGGTTGTTTTCTCGCCCATAAAATGGAGGTAATCATATTCACCTGTCAGAAGTGTTGCGATTGCATGTGATAAAGTGAAATTTGCAGTATAATGCCTGGCCTAGTTAATTACTTTAATGCATAGTTCTCTGCCCTTTAAAACATCTAGCCCATCATGCTTTTGTGTGCTAATCCTATATCCTAGGACACATGGGAATTTAATGTCACAATGGAATATTTGATATGGAAATCTTGGAATGCAGGACATTTAAATGGCAGACCATGTCCCACTCCCCACCCTTTTTGTTTTTGGATAGGCATTAAAAACCATGCCAAACATCTGGGTTCTCTGTCCCGCTGGCGAGGTCATCATTGCACATTATAAAGAGTTAAGACATTTCACGTCATTAGCAGTCGAACCAGCTGTGTGAGAGCTCAATTTCACTGTGAATTCATAAAACTCACTTCAAACCAAGTGTTCAAAATTTTTGTTGCTGTTAGAAGTGAACGCTAATGTGACATCTCCTACTGCTGATATGTGCCATGGACATCAGCTGTACCATGGAATGGGCAAGGCAGGAGCTGGAGCAAGATGGAATTGAACTTCCAATTCTAAGTTCCTTAGCAACTTTTTTCCTCTGAGCCTTTTATTTTAAGTACTTGTAAAAGGGGAGTAAGAATACCTCACCAGGGTCAATTTCGCTGATTATCTTGGAAATATATTTGGGAAAATATTTGGCAATTAGTACTCAACATATTTTTTTCTTATGATAAGTGGGTCACCTAGAGGGCCAGATGGGCACTGACATTGCTACTCAAAAGTGTGGTCCAGAGAGCAGAGCATTCTATCACCTAGACACGCGTTACAAATTGAGAGCCCCTGAGATACCATGTTGCCCCAGTTGGAATGGCTATAACCCAAAGTACAAAAAATACATGCTGTCGAGGATGTGGAGAAGGAAGCTCCTATACAATGTTGGTAGGAATGTGAATTAGTATAGTTAACATAGAAAACAGTATGGAGGTTCCTCAAAAATTGTGAAAAAGAACTACTGTATGATCCAGCAATCTTACTACTGGGGAAATGAAATCAATGTATCAAAGAGATACCTGCCTTCCATGTTTACTGCAGCGCAATTCACAATAGCCAAGATTTTGAGTTAACCAAGATGTCCAATGATGGGTGAATGGATAAGCAAAATGTAGTATGCATACACAATAGAATGCTATTCAGCCAATAAAAAAAGAATGAAATTTTGTTATTCTGGCAACATGAATGAAACTGGAGGGCTTTATATTTAAGTGAAATAAGCCAGGCACAGAAAGCAATTACTGTGTGATCTCACTCACATGTGGAAGCTAAAAAATTACTAGAGGTTGGGAAGAGTACTGGGGAGAGAGGATAGAGGGTGTTGGACAATGGGTACCAAAATAGACAGGAGGAATAAGTACTAGTGTTCTACAACACAGTTAAGTGACTGCAGTTCAGTTTAAAACACCTTATAAATACCACAGTGATTTAAGATTCCCAGCATAAATCATAAATGTTTGAGAGGAATGTTAACGACTCTATACACTGTGTATACATTTATCAAACTATTACACTGCACTCTATAAATATGTACCATTAGAAAATTCAATTTTGAGTGGAAAAAAAAAAGGAAATCAAAACTCTCAAGGGCCACCCCAGACCTACTGAATCAGCTCTGGCATTACTACAAGGTCCGTAGGATTCATGAAGTTTGAGAGCATCTCAGCTCTGCATCCCGAACAGCCCTACATGAGAAACTGACAAAGGCTGGGATGCTGATGACATCCTTGCAAAGATGGGTTTGCTAGTGTTTGGATTTTTTTTTTTCCTTTGTTTGCTTCCTCCAGATAAGAGGAACTTCCTCTTGGCAGGCAACTGAACTCCAGTGAGGTCTTGCTCCAGCACAGACAAGACAAACCACTAATCTGAATAAATAAGCATCAATTTTATTGAATCATGAATAATTTAAGACTGGTACAATCATCAGCTTTATTCTCTATGATGTGGAGCATGGTCTCCAGCACATCATTGGCAAATCCAAACCTCATGACAAATGAAAATTAAATAGGGAGGGAGAGAAGGGGAGGATGGAAACCGTACACAAAATACTCAATTCCTAGTTTTCTCTTTAAAAATGGCTAGAAAAAATTCATCAAAATGCAGCACTTTAATCAATTATTTACAATTTCTATGTTACAATGAAAAAAATGTACATCTTATAGAACATATTTCATAAATTGCTCCACTGGAAACAACTAGGTCAAAACAGCAAACCTTCCACAAAGTTGGATTTTTCTTTTTGAAGTAGATTCACCACAACCAAATTTGAAAACACAGGATTTTGAAGTTTAAGCATTAAACCATAAAATTTAAAATGTCCCAAAGATACAACAAAAGACTAGGCAAGTCTTGCTCCTTATCCCACCCTTCCCCCACCCACAATCCTTAAATTAAGAGGTATCCCCCATCTCATTTATGGCCTGTATAATTCTTGGCAGTTTGGGAAGAAAAGTTTTGGCTTCCATCAGTAACTCAACATAAATGTTGCATAGAATTTCATACATTTCAAAATTAGCCTAACTGTAGAAAAAGGCAAAATGGAAGCGCGTATCAGAGCCCTAAATGAGTACTAAGTCACTTTGTCAAAGGTGAGTGACATGAAAGTAAAAATATGACCTAAATAAGAAATGTGCATATCAGACAACCCTGCTTCCCGAAACTTTAGGAAGGACACTGAGTTGTGAATCACACAAGGGTCACGCTACTTGAAGTCACTGTTCACCAATCAGGCAGCACCAGGTACAGAGGTTTCAGTTCTCAGCCTGGACCCAGTGGGAGGGAAGTCTGGGAATTGGGGGGAGAGGAGGCAGGGAAGAAGGTGTCATTTAAAAGAAAAGTTTCAAATAAAATTGGCAGGTGTCTATTCACAAGGTGACTGGAAAAACTGCCCACGAGGAAGTCAATTTTACCTCCTTCCAAATTCACAGTATGAGTGTAAGGTCATTGCTGGGAGATAGACTGAGAAGTTCCACCCTTCAGGGTTACCAGAAGGCTGAGGGTATGGCCCCCAGTCACAGGCTAAATATATTTGAAAGTTTTAAGAACAAAAGCAGAACAAGACACATTCATACCCAGATGAGTCATGAAGGCTGAGCAGAAGAGAGTCTGAGTTTACTGAGATTTAAGCAGGAACAGTGGTAAGGGTTTCCTATTCATCAGTTAGTAGGACACATTCCCCTGTTCCTTTCAAAGAGCAAGAAAATGGTGCCATTCCAAGTGAAGTGAGCAGTTTGGGGTCAAACTCTTATGGTAAGAAAATGAGGAAAAAAAAACCAAGAGACAAACCTTCAGAAACAGAAATGCAAAGGATGGAATAAAACCGCTGATCATTATCAGAGACACCCTCACTGGGGCTGATAAAGATTCTCTTAATAAAACAGGAAATACCAGTATGTTGAAGACACAGCAGGCTGGGTTTCTATTAGGGCACGAATCAGCAATGCCATGTGGATTTGAAGGAACTTTTGCCTTTTCCTGCATGAGACAGATCACTGTCTGGTCAGGTTGTTAGCTGGAGAGTGACAAGAACCTCAAAACATGAATCTTTTTTTCTTTTTTTTCCTTTTTCCCATGATTACACATCCACACAAACAAGTCTTTTGGATGAGAAGTCACAGCAACTTGAGTTCTCCTTATGAACAGATGACTTTTTAGCCCTGTTTGCTTTGATGGGGAAAAAACAAAGAAACACACACAACCCCAGGCAGGCACGACACTCATGTGGACGAACACGGTTAGTACAAAACCAGTAAGGCATCGCTTTGGGAAGGTCAGCACCGAAGAGGTCAGGCAAGGCTCATGGGGACGGAGGGCAGGGCTGGGCTTCCGGGAGGGACTGCCCTCCCTTGTTGAGCTGCGCCACGTTGGTTCTGAAGAAAGTGCAAGTCTTTTGCGAGGTGACTTCACTACCCCACCTGAAGCTGGGGCTGGGGAGCTTGAGGTGAAGTGCGTTCTGAGCCCTCAAAGACGAGAAGGAAAGGCAAGGTCTGTGGCTCACCCACATGAGGGGGACCAGTCCTCATCCATTTTAAAGGACACAAATAGCCCCAGCCCCAGCAAGAGGAGGGGAGTGTGTAGAACTGAGAAGATGACAATTAAAAATGAAAACTGAGCAGGATCGAACCAAAACTCAACTCCTGTGGCTCTTATTTTCACCCAAGGATTGATTCTGACCAAGGGGTTGGGGAATATGGAAGAAAAACCTTCAAAATCAATGAGGCAGAAAGGGAGAAACTCGACCCCATTTAAAAGGGGTTATCAGTCCTCCAAAGAAGAACCATTCTCACCATACACAGTGTTTGCAGAAACAAAACCTGATTCTTTTAGACATGATAAAGGAAATAGATACACACTGCTCTGTGTTCATAACCACATCCGCTCGCTCACATTCTCACACCTTCACTCACTCTCATGGATAATCGGGGGTTGATGGACCGAGGGTGGGGGTTGAACTGAAATGGGCAAAATACCTCTTGGGGAAGGAGAGCACCATTTAAAAACCAGAAAAGCACGATGTAGTTTCTCTTAAGGTTTTCCTGGGGCATGGCTCTGCAGTGCATTGAGGGTGACCAAGCAAGTGCCCTTGTTAGCACCAGTTCTTCAGTAGCTGCTGGGTGGAGGGCAGGTAGGAGTGGCTATGGAGTGCTGGCCTTGAGACCCAGGCTAGAGGGTCTGTTGCTGAGGGGAAGTCGTGCTGTCTGCATTTCCAACTTTGTTCCAGTCTTTTCTGTTTCTGGGAAGCTCATGGGAGGATGCTGTTTGGTTTCAGAGCTCCAAGTGGGTTGTTTTTTGTTTTTTTTTTTTTTTTTAAAACAATTTCATTTAATTCTTTTCATTTCAACGGTGATGATCCTTTCCCGAGAAGTATCGTCAGTGCTTAGGGAGGTCATAGCAACAAGGCAAAATAATAACTAAAGTAAAATGGGAGCTAGTGCAGTTCTCACTGTGGAAGAAGTGCTCCCCAGGTGGCTGGCCTAGGATGCAGGCACCCAGGCAGAGGCTGAGGGATGAGGGGTCTTGGAATTCCTGCAGCTCGGAGGCTACAGTGGCTGGGAGCTGGCTCAGGAAGTTATCTTCTGGATGAGGTGGAGGATGCATGTGGAATGGGGTGAGGAGAAGAGGCAGGCAAGCTCGATGGCTGGGCCTCTGTCACAGAGTGGACTCCAAGGATGAGTCCAGGATGTCATCGTGATGGCTGTTACTGTTGGAGTCGCTGTCATAGCTCTGGGGGCTAGAGTAGTTGGCTGCCTCCTGCAGTCTCATCAGCATGTTCATCTGCAGAAAGAGTGGAGGGACATGAGTGACCACCAGTCAGGTCAGCTGCCCACCCCGGCCTCTTAGAAGCGCATGCCACCTCCTTCACGCCAAGGTGCAGTTGTGGCATTTGACAGAGGCAGTGGACAAGAGCACGGAGTCTGGTCCAGTCTTCCAGGGTTGAAATCTTGGTTTCTCCACTTACTAGCCACATGCACACCCTTGGGCAAGCTACAGAACTCTCGCAGGACTATTTCTTTATTGATCAGATGTCACTACTAATAGCATCTGCCCTATAACACTACAGTCTGGATTGAATATGTAGAGCACTGACAGGAGAATAGAAAGTCCTGCATAAACATATTTTTTTTTGGTGGAACTGGGGTTTGAACTCAAGGTTTTGCATATGGAAAGTAGCTACTTTACCATTTGAGCCACACCTTCATTCCAACCTATTTTTTAATTTGGGAAGGGCATACCTTACCCACGAGCAGCCCTCAGCCTAGGTGAAGATGTCAGCATAATATCCTTGCTCTTGGAATATGTGACTGTATCACCGACATCTGGAGCACATACTCACTCCCAACCCCTTGGATGAGCAGGAACCCACCTGAACTCCAGCTCAGGCTGGTCAGAGTCAGTCGGGAGCCAACTGCTCCAGCTACTGCCAAAGCCTTCCTGTAGCAGTGGGGAGACCAAAGTGCAGAAGCCTGGACAATTTTGGGAGTCTTTATGTCAATTACCTGAAATATTTGGGCCACCACTCCTTCTTGTGCAGAATGGGAAAAAAAAGCAGCGCCTAGCTCATAGGGTTGAGGTAGGGGATGGAATGGCACAATATGTGTTAAAGCCTTAAATAGGGCTGTCTAGCTGGCACAAAGCAAGTGCTTAACAAATGTGATTGCTTTCCATCTTCACTTGACTTGAAGGGAGAAAGTTAGAGACAGCATTCTTAAATCTTTCCTGGTCTATATTCTTTAAGAGCCATTTGTTTGGAAAGGGGGATTTAAAAACTTCTTTTATTTACAACTATAAATTGTCTACGTGTGTGTGTTATACTTCACATGGCAGGTAAATTAGGAAGACAGGGTCCCTCTGGGTTGGGAGCAAGATTGGTAAGGCTGAGTGAGAAATCCTGCTGCCACTCAGGATGCTAGGCAGTCTCCCTGGGGAGCCAGGCCAGAGGCACCAGTGGCTAGAGTCCACCTGCACAGCCATAACCAGGGAAGAAAAGAAGGTGAAGTACAATGGGCAATCCTTGCCAGCCAGGATTATTTACTCATCAAATATTCCTGGTGTCCATAGCATATGGTTTTGGAGTAAAACCACGTCAGTCCTGCCCTCCTGATGTCTCAGTCTTGTGAGAGAGAGGACTAGGACACAGGAGAACTATTATGTTAGAGACCCATGGCCAAGGGCAGAGAGAATGGGATTGGAGAAATACTAAATATCTAGCTGGGTAAGTAGGGATGGTTGGACTGGCACAGATCAGGGACCTAGGATTGGAAAAAGAACTTTACCTAACAATCTTTCAAGTTCAATCAGTGTTGTGAATATTCCTGGCTAAGGAAAGACAGACCAGGTATGGGCCAGCCATTCTTTCCTCTAGATATCCCAAGACCTACTTTTATTTAAGTTAGGACCTCAGACACTTGCCTACGCCAAAAAAGAGCCTCATGAGACCTTGGCCTCTAGCAGTGGTTATGTTAGAAATGGCTATTAAAGTGTTTCTTTCCTCTGGAAAGCTACTGTTGTAAATACTGCAAACTAGGTTGCCATAGTAATACCAATACTACATCCTTTCAAAATATAGTTCCTGTTTAGTATCCTTACAGGATGACAGCTACATCACAACAATCAGCAGAATGGCAGATACCATGTCACCTATTATTTTATATCTATCAAATGAACTGGCCACTAGAAACAGAATAGTGAATCAATTGTCTTTCAATCCCGCTGTTTCCTATGAACATTTCTTTTCACTAGGTAATACAAATAATATTCTTCACTGTGTTTTTCTTCTTGCTATAGCTGCCAAGAAAGCTCAGAGCTAACTTTCAGGCATAATAATAGTCATTAACTGTGGGAGGTGTGGTTATATTTGCTTCCTCCTTGTTTTACAGGGCCTTTGATTGGTTAGGTCTGACTTGGCAGCATGACTATGCACGTGTCTCATATTGGTAGGGAATTATAGAATTGGTTACAGTACTGCCCAGGTACTTCTCAAAAAGCTGCATTTGCTTTTAGCAATGGCGGAGTAAATATGAAGCTCAAGCTCATCTCACTGGTCAGGGGACCCGGATTCAGGCCTCTGCCCCTGCAGGAGTCCCTCCTGCCCTCAAACCTCTCCCTGCCTGTGCTCCTCATCATTTGGCCTGGGCCCCTGGACCTTAGCATGGTCTTCCTCTGCTCAGTGTTTAGCGGGAGACATCAGAGTAACACACAGTTTATGATAATGGTGGACATCTCAAATCGGAGGGCAAACAGTAGACAACAGGTGCTGGGATATTTAAGGTGGGGGGAAAAATCACTCTTAACCTTTTACCAGAAAAAAAAATTTCAAGGAGGTTAAAGGCATTAGTAAAGAGTTAAATCCATGGAAGAAAATACTGACAAAAATGTCCTTAATCTTGGTGTGGGCCCTGCCCCAAAGCAAGGCTAAGCTTTGTCAACTTCGTATTTTTAAAGTGCCTTGCATTGTGGCCAATATATAGTAAGTGCTCAGTGAATGCTCAACTGCTCTGAGAACCGAGAACTCACCAGTGGGTCTCCTTCAGCATCGCTGGGGGGCACCTGCTTGCTTGTTGACCCCTCCCGAGGCATGGAGTAGCCATCAAAGCCGACATCCTCAGGCCGCAGCTGCAGTAGGGGAGGCCACTCGTGCTGCTGTGGGCTGGCTGCCCATGGGTAGGTGTCCATCACCCACTTGGCAGGATCCTCCCAGGGGGCACGCCTTCCATAGAGCTAAAAACAGGCACAGAAGGAACAGTCTGGAAGCAGGGTCAACTTTGCAACTTTCTGGAAGACCTTCCCAAACCCACATTATGCCTCTTCTAGAATTTCAACCTAAGGAAGTCACCCCCAAGATACAGATAACTTTCAGTGCTAGGACCAAAGGGCCTAGAACCCAGTGCCCATGGGCACAGGCTTGACTCTGGCTGAATAGGGCTCACGCTCAGCTCTTGCTCCTGACTCACTGTGCAAACCTAATCTCTGGGTCTTGCTGGTTCAAGGGAGAAAAGGAACAACCTGATCTGAAGCATTTGGCAATTTCCAGGTGTAAGTACTCCCACTATGGTCAATTTCAAATTACCAACCTGAGATCATTGACAGAGTTGGAAAGATGAGCCAGCTCTAGAGCTCCACTGGCTGTGTCCACCCACAGAAGACTTCCCACCCAAGTTGGGTGCTGGCCATCGACATGGCAGGCAGAGGTCACCAATGGGCTCTGGTTTGATGAAACCTTACCTCTTAAAGTGGCTCTGACTTTCAGAGTCTCTATAGAAGCACTGGACCCTTTCGAAATAGCAAGCTGCTCACAGAAAAGGTTGTGTGGAGGTAGAGGAGTTAGAAGTGTTTCTCTCCTGTCATCTACTTCTCAAAATTGTCCATAATAACTAACTTGCTTTTAAAATGGTAAACTATATTACTACTTAATTTTATAAGATCAATGTATCATTCTTGTAAGTTCCTTTTCTTAAGCTTTAAGATCTAATGCTGTAATCATTTTAGTGATTACTAGAAATTTTTAAAAATATGTTCATCCTTCAAGGAACAAAGACCTAGAGTGGAACACTTCCCAAAGTGAGGCTCTGTACATTATATAGCTAGGTGCAGTCTATATGTTTCTTCTTTAACCATGCCACACCTTACAGTTTACTGGGTGCCAGGGGCTGAGAAGTATTATATAGTATCTTATTTAACCACCATGTGACTCTAAGCAGAGTATCACTACTGTGGTTTACAGGTGAAGAGGCAGACCCAGGGCTGAGTGGAGCCAGAACTGGAAACCATGTCTTTCTGTGTCCATGGACCACTGGTGTCTGAGCAGATGTGGCAGGGCCTACTCACAGCCAGCACAGTGCTGTCTGGATTCTTAAGGCACCTTCTCTTAACAGGGAACTCGGAGTTCAAAGACTGAAGACTCCTGAACCCACACTGGCTGCAGTGGAGCAGTACAGTAGAGTGACATTGGGGCCTGGACGCCTGCGTGTGTGCTCCTTCTGCCTTTTCCTACAAAGGAGTGTGAGAGAGGCAGGTGTTGAGAGTGGAAGAGAGCTGGTTTCTGAACTGACAAAACTGCATCATTCTGAGTCAGAAGCTGTCTCAGCTGGGAGGAGCTAGGGACACCTAGCCCACCTGCTACTCACCAGACAGGGGCATGAGGGCCTGAAGAGCAGAACCAGCTATGAAAGGTTATAGCTCCATTTGAACCTAGAACTCAGCTTCCATATCTGGGCCTTTTCCTCTCACCCTTCCTGCTTGACTTGACTCTAAACTACCATGTGTATTAGCAGGAGTCATGTGACTCAGCCAGTCCTGAAGCATAAGACCAGGCTGGTCACCAGATATCAACACATTAGCCTCAGCTGGGCCCACCACTCCCTCCAGTGGTTCCACTCTTCCACCATCACCCAAGCCACTCCAGACCTTTGTATCTGATTTTTGTCTGGGAAGCCACCCACCCCGCATCATCATGGATGGGCCCATCTCTCTGTACCAGTGGCTGCCTTCTCCACTCAAGACACCCAGAATCTCCTATGATCTCATTGTTGGCCTAGACGCCAACACACTCCTGTCTAGCACTCTGGCTCAATCTATTGTTATATCTTCTTTAACCTAGGGCAATGGTTGAGTCTCAGGCCTGAGAATTTAGTCTGGCAACCTAAAAACAATTCATAGTCTGCTCAGGAAGGAACCATAAGAGGTGAGTGTGCACACATGCATGTGTCAGAAGCAGCTGGGGATCTTTAAGCCAAAGAAGGCTGTTCACCATTAGAACCATTCTTGGAGTTTTCAGAACATTCTCCCTCCAAGGACTTTCAGAGAGAATGGGGCTGCCTTTCCCAAGCTAGATTTCACATGCACAAGGCTGCCTGAACCCCTTTCTGACAGCTACTACTTTGTCTCCACCCCTTGGCTATAGGAGGAGACACTCCAGGCTAACCCCCACCACTGGGTGGCTTGAGGAACCTTCTGGGATTCTGAGAAACCAGACCAAGAAAAGTCTAGCCCCAACCTTTCCATATATAGATAGGGGAGCCAAGGTCCAGAAATGGAAGACTGCAGGGCCTCAGAGCAGTTTGGTAATTGATAAACGACCTACGCTTGCCCCCTCCACTACTCCTGTTCCTTCTGGCACCAGGCCTGCCCTGGACACTGGGTATTTTGAGTTCCTCTGTTGACTGTAGACACTTCAGGAAGTATTTCCAACGCAACTCCAAAGGGGTACAGGGCTGCAGACTGAGTCATAAGATAAATGCACATTAGATGGTACGATCATCATCTATAAGAACAGAAAATATTTTTACAAGCCTCCCTGCTTGCCACTGGACATGTTTGTGTCTAGGTGATGAATGACTGAGTAAGTACCATGGCAAAGGAAGTATAAAGCTCCTTGGCTCCACTGCAGAGGCCTCAGGGCAGCAGCAGAGACAGCCGGGCAGACAGACAGAACATTCACTTTCCCCAAGGCGGGGGAGGAGCCTGGCATCCCCATTCAATCAGGAGGAATGGGAAAAGAATGACAGGGAGCCAAGACATTGGAAGCTAAAACCTGGGCAACTGTGATCCTTCTGACCCTGTGGGGCTCCTGGAAGCACACAGAGGTATCAAAATACGCAGGAAATCGCACACATACACACTACCAGGAAAGACACTGGAGCCCGAACTTGCAGAGGTATCTGGTATCCACTAGAGGGCAATGCCTAGGCACAAATGAGATGTGTAGTGAGAGGGGAGGCCTGTAAGTAAATGGTAAGACCTTGTTATAGCAGTTTCTCTACATTCTTACCAAATCCAGACCACTAAGAACAGTCCTCCTTCTTGCTCGTGATTTGTGGCAGCCCCATCAAAAAACTATTTTTCACCTTTTCTTAGCTTGTAACTGAGGCCTAGGGCTCTAAACCACACCATACTTACCTGATGGCCACTCAGGTAGGGTAGGTGAGGAGCAAATGACCTTGTACAGTGCCCAGTGCACAGTAAGCATGGGTTCCATGAGACATGAAGGAGAAGGGCATTATTTTTTTTAATAAAAGGATCCTCTTGTCAAATGAAATCACATACACAACTTTGCTATATAAAACATACTTTGTTCATTGGGCCACCTGAGGCTTTCTGATAGAGATATGGGAATTCCCCAGAACAACCTGAAAGTGCGAAAGTAGCTGAAGTTGTCAAATAGTTCTGGGCTCCAGCATTTACTCCATCCTGCCTTGCTGAGTGAAGTTGGTCAGGTTCAAAACCTTCTGCTAGTTTTGCTTTCCCTGTCTATAGTTACTCATTGGACTGAAGGAACTAAAGGAAATGTCAGCAAACTTTTCAAACCCAGAGACATGAAGAGCACTGCAGGGTTCCCTGTGAACTGGCAGGTTCTGGGAGGTCTCCTGGACTCATTCACAATGAAGAGGTCACAGGTTGGGGGCAGGTTGGCTCACTGTTGAGGCACTTGGTAGAGTCCTAATTCTGGCTGCCTCCTTTTGCTGCTCTCACATTCTTGAAAGTATCCTTCAAATGACTTCACAGCACAAGAAGCAAAGACTTATCCTGCCTCACAGGACTGGTGATTCTCATGAGACTGCAGCATCTCTCTGCAGCCTGCCCCAGATGGACCGTACTGCAGTCATTCCTAAGTCCCTTCCACCTGTAGCCTGCATTGCTGTTGGTAGGAAAGGGGCCCAGTGCTCCTCTAGCATAAGCTCCATCAGCAACCTCTCCTTGGAGCAGAAGAGGAGTCCAGGCCTCCCTTCACGACCCTCCCCAGAGCCTCCTTTTAAGTTTAGGTTCAAAGGAAAATGGAGAATTGGTACTGCCACCCACTTCTGGCCAACAAGGAGCTTGCTGCGGGTCACAGCTGAAGCAGACAGGTGCTAACCCCTCCCTGGTTAGTGCCTCCCTGGACAGAAAGACCTTTATTCAGCACAGTCTACAAGTTCTTTCAAGTGATTCTAAAGCCACTTCCCTTCCCTTTCCTGAAAATATTGATGGAGAAAGGAGGAAACAAGTGGAGGCCCTCAGAGGGAGGTGGAAACGGGAGCAGAGGGGCACAGCTCTTCTGCCTGCAATTCCCTCTGCTTTTCTTTACAGTTTGGGTTTCACAGAAGTGGCAGCATAGCAGAGTCTTGAAGAACAGGAGAAAGGGGGCTTCCACAATGAAACACACTGTAAAAATCCAGCAGGGGGAGATGCTTCCATTGGCTTCAGAAAATAGGAATGACTGAGTGGCTGTTTGGTTTGTGGCACTAATAAACCCATCTGAGTAGAGACTAAATTATCATCAATTTACCCAGGCCAGTGAATTGTATGAACCTAGGGAAATTTCACTGCAAAGATCTGAAATCATTCTTATCTTCTTTCATGAAAGCAACACGACAGAGAGAGCCAAACAATGATCTTGGGCTGGGCAAAGACTGCCCACTTTCTTGCTCCTCTTTGCCTCCCCAAGACAACATATCTCAGCAAAGTGTCTTGAATGTACAGCACAACCTGCTCCCACCCAGTGCAATACCAGTCACAAGAAACACAATAGCTCCAAGTCCTCTTTGTTCTGAATGTCACTGAAGAGCATCACTGTTGCTACATATTATAGATACAAGGAATTTGAATGTTCCCCAGGCTGAGCCAAACATACAGAAATGACAAACAGTGATGGAAGCCATCAACTTGTACTGTCAACACATGCTTGTGGTGCACACTGTTCCCACACCCTCTGCAGGCAACACTGTCTCATGTCTCTCCCTGCCCCATACAGCGGAATTAAAGAAACCTGAGAAACAGGTTGTAAATCTGGTTGCTGGATTATTCAGCTGCTCATGATGCCTGAGCAGGATGCTCACTGTAGCACTGCAAGCCTTCTGAACTGCGCAGGCTACATTTAAGTTCAACAGTGAAACTGACCCAACTGCAATGATTAAACAGTGTGCTCCTTGATGAATTCGGAGCCCAGTGAGAAGTTAAAAACTGGTTGCTTCCCAGCTGCTACCTGGCAGCAAGAACTTAGAGCTTTATGGGCAACAAGCCACAGGGCTACTCGTGAGGGTTCCTGATATAAGTAGTGAGTGTCCTGAGGACGAGTGCTAAGCAGCTAGAATTCCATTCAGCAGGCAAGGAATCAAATTTTGTGTGTGTTGTGTTGCGTTGCGTTGCTAGTGATGAAACGCAGGGCCTTGCATGTACAGGTAAATGCTCTACCACTGAGATACACTTCCAACTGGTTTTTTGAGGCAGGGTCTCACTATGTAGCCCAGGATGGCCTGGAACTTGAACTCACAATTTTACTATCTCCACTTCCTAAGTGCAGGGGGTTTACAGGATTGTATTACCAAACCTGGGTAAAGCTTCACTTTAAAGACATTGGAAAAGCCACTTACTCTTTTAGGCTCAATTTTTCTCTTTGTATAAAGAGATTAAAAAAAACAAACAAGAAATCTCTGTCCAAGTCCTAAAACTAATCCAAGGGCTTGGAGCAAACAGTGGTCTTTGCAAACTGTGTTACACACATGTAGTTCCAGTTCTTGTGCACTTTATGGCCAGAATTTCATGTAATCCTTACAATGACTTCTTAAGACAGAGTAATATTATTATCCTTTTCCATTGATGGGGGCACTAAAGTGTGGAGAGGCTGAATAAGTTGCCTGGGGTCACACAGCTGATGAGTGGCTGAGTCAGGATTTGCGCCAACTGTTCCTACACTGTGCTAGACTGATGGCCACACAGGTGAGGACTGGTCCCTTCACAGCAGTCTGATTCTGGAAGGAGGAGATAAAATGACAACTCTGAGGAAGATGGCAGGTGTGTGCACCTCACCTGGAGTCCTTCTCTGACAGCTTCCAGCAGATAGGGGATAATGGAGTAGTTCCACAAGTCGGTGAACCATACTCTTGAGCCATCCACGTCGATGGGGCATGATAGGAACAGTCGAGGGCCTGGCAACCACAGTGAAAATGCATCAGAACTGAAATGGGGTGGGTCAGGAGAACCCCTGGTCTGAGTATCCCTTCTCAGAGGGATCCTAGATTTTCAGAACTATGGCAAGGCTGATGGAAGAAGTATCAGCTGCTGGCTGGCAGCTTCAGAGCTGGAACCTCTGACTCCCTCATCCTACCCCTCAAGGAAACCACAGAGAAAAGATTCTCTGTGGTATTATTGATCTTGGCTTTTAAAAATGGACACAAGAGACAAGAAATGATTATGCAAATGAGGCAACACCCACATGCGGTTATTTTTCAGCCTTCAACATAAAGGCAGTACGAAAGGAGTAAAGGGAACACAATTAACTCCAGAATATGTGGATGAATAGACATGGCCGGAAGAAATAAGCTCAAAATGAAAGTCTGATGTCAGTATGGTAGGAATGGGTGGTGATCTATTTTTCTCTGTTTTAAATCCCTAACCTCCGGGAATGCTGTTAAAACTTTATTTTTAAAGTAAAGGCAATGCCAAAGGGTTGTTTCAGCCCTGGGGTAACTTTGAGGTAGGGACTCTACTGAGCTGACAGCTTCTACACCAGCCTGGGCAGGATACATCTCTGCTGATCACTGTGGGCTGGGGTCCATCTTTTCTGTAATTGTGCCTCTGTCTGCTTCTTTACTCCTGAGGTCAGTGCAATGCGCTGAGAAGTGCCATGTTCTGGCACTTCCTGTGAGGGCCTAGAGGCTGGGGCCTAAAGGACAGCCAGGGGCTCCAGGGATATCACCACCCACCAGCCAGCCTGCCCCCTTCTGCCAGCCTCCCACCTACCAATGGTGACGTCTGAGGAGCTGTGAGCCTCCAGGAAGCGGTTGAGGTGATGCCAGACCTTGGGAATCCAGTCGATGATCTTTACCAGCTCCGTGTTCCGCACCCACCCACTGATCTCTGTCTCCATAAGCTTCCTCCTCAGGAACCGGCCAAGGAAACCCTTCACAGGCTCCGTGTGGTTGGCACAAAGCACCCACCTGAGGGAAATCAGGAGGAACGCCTTTCAGCAATGAGGACAGGAGCACACGATGGCTAACTTCAAGAACCAGCGCATGTGAGAAATCAAAGGTGAATATGCTAATGCTAAGATAGGACACACTGTCTGCCTAGCCATTGGGCCCCAAGTCAATAAGTAAATAAATAAAAATAAAGCCTACTTTAAAAATTGAACTAAAAAAATCATATCTATTATAAAATAGGACTCATTATCAGATACTATTCTAAACACTGTACTCATAATTCCTCATACCTTGAGACATAGATATTATCACCATTCCCATTTTACAGATGGAAATACCAAGGCACGTATAGGTACATAACTTGTCTAGGTTCAAACAACTGGTTAACAGAAGAGCTAAGAGTTGAACCACCACCAAGACCAAGATAGTCTAGCTCCAAAGTCTGAGCTCTAACCATCGAGACAGACTGCTTCTTGTGTTTTGCTGTCAGATATTGCACTGGGTTATGGAACGGTGCCTTTGACATAGTTCCAGGCCTCCAGGAGCTCACAACTTAATGGAAGAGGCAGACAGGCAAAGGGAGAAATGAGACATGATGAAAGGCAAAGGGAGAAATGATACATGATGAATTGTCAGGGAATCAGGACAGGTTCCTCAGAGGAAGGGATGTTGGAGCTGAGGCGGGTCAGCAACATAAGGAAAGGTAGGAGTGGGCATCAGGGTGGGAGGTGGAACTTGGAGCAACATCGGAAACAAGGAAGTGTAAGTAAACCACCAGAGGTTCAGTGTAACCAGTCTACGGCCGTGCCACCCTGAACACGCCCAACGGCATCTGATCTTGGAAGCCAAGCAGGGTTGGCCTTGTTAGTATTTGGATTGGGGAGGTTCAGTGTAACCAGAGTCTGCACTTGACCTGCTAACTTAAAAGTTTCATCCTGCAGGCAACGGGCAGCCACTGAAGCTTTGAGCACTTTGGCTCTGAGGTCAGATGAGCATGCTAGAATGATCACCAGCTACGACAGGGCAGAGGATGCCTGCAGGGGGCCAAGCTGCAGGCAGCCAGCCAGTTACAAAATGACTGCAATAATGTGCTGGGAGACAATGTGACAGTGACAGCAGAAGGAAGAGGAGGATGGGCTTGAGGGACAGTTAAGAGAAAGCACGGACAGTCTGGATGGAATGGGAGCCAGGCTCTCGGTGCCCTTGAGGAGTTGACATTTCTCTATAATTACAGTTCAGGCCACTTTTAATAGATCTCCCTCAGAGAAGACTGCATAGTGGCCAGTAAAAATAAGCCCCAGTCAGCCCACAAGACAAATTCTTTCCCTCATCTAAGGGCCCATGCAGGGTTCAGGGTAAGGGCGAAGGGTGCTGAGTGATGTCATGGCAAGTGGCAAACAAATCTCATGCACACAGTTGAACTATTTGGGGAGCGACATGTCACCAGCGTTCAGAGAACCGCATCTCAAGGGTCCAGGACCCAGCTATGGAGACAGCCACAGGCTGGAGTTGTCACTGCTCATGTTCACTTGGGACACACACACACCACTTGTGATATGCCGGGGCAGCCACCACCTTTCCAAAACTGCCTCCCTGTTACCACTCCAGAGGAACCTGGAGTCACAGACACCAGGATTCAAGTTTCAGCTCTGCCACAGACCAACTGCACGACCTCAGGAGCCACTCAATTCTCTGTTTCCTCCTTTGCAAACTAAGAATGATAAATGTAACTATTTCAGGGTGAAGTGAGAATTAAGTAAGTTTCAAATTAGAAAAAGTGCTTAACCCAATGCCTCACATAGAACAGACGCTCAAAACAGGCTTCTGTATCAGCCTTTGCTTGCTTTCCTTCTTGGCAATTTCTTTATCTCCCAGGACAAGGAAGTGACACCTTACCTGAAGTTATGATGAAGCTGCAAGTTGGGAGTAGAAGAGGTAGCCTGGTTCATTGTGCCAATGATGTAAGGGCTGTGGGGGAAACACAGGATGAGGAAGAAGCCTGTGCACCTATCTGTCCACGTAGATGGATGGCTAGTTGTCTTCCCAACCCAGCCAGTGTGGACACCCTGCTGTACTGGACTACCCGTATGCTTAGCTCCTCCCATCAGGTGGTGGCATACTCCTTGGGGACCCTGAGGTCCAGAATTGGCGTTTACCATTTATGGTACTTGCAGTTGAGCAGCCCATTGAAGATCTCGCCCAGAGAGCTGACATGATGGAGGTTATCCAGGATGATGACAAGGGGCATGTCCACAGCATTGTTCTCACTGTTGCACTGATCAGCAAGGTTGGACAGGTACTGGCGCAGTTCCTATGGTGGTCAGGGAGAACAAGCTGTGAGCGCACTCCCAGGAAAATGCACGTGCTCAGCGCATTCATCCGCCCAGAGTCAGGCAAGGAGAGGGCCCTTCACTGTGCTGAGCTATATGACACATCAGAGCACCTGCCTGCTACAGGGAATTGGCTCAGTGTTCAAGGGATACTGGGTGGTTAGCGGGGATGGGACAAGTAGGGCCTGAGTCCTGTCTCCTGGAACCTATTCCATAACTGTTGCATAGTCAGTTTTTAATCCCCACTGAATCAGTTCTTCAGAAAAATCTCACTTTTCTTGATATTTCTAATTATGCCAACTTCCCAGTAGGCTCCTGAAGGCAGATGCCTCATCCTCACGTCTCCTATGCAAGCCACGCTGATCAGTGCCATGACAGACATGACCAGAGTGCAGGGGGAAATGAGTCCATGTACTCTGGGGATCTTGGAAGGTCCTGTTGGAGGGGCAGACTTTGAGGAATGGGTGGAGCATTGGCTCAGCTGGGACTTGAATGCAGCCCAGCATGCATGGGTAAGGATGCATGTCAAGAGAGGAAGAGCAATGGTGCAGTGGGGGAAAGGACCTGTGGGCATCCAGAAGGACTGCCTGATAACATCTTCACACTGATAGCTGCCCTCACTGAGGACACACACACACCTGTGATAAACCTCTCAATAAACCTGTGCGAGACGTACTGTGATTAGCACCACTTTATAGATGGAGAAGCTGAGGACATCGAGGTCAGGTGACTACCTGAGACAACACCAGGTTAGACTCAGACTTGGGTGCCTATTGCAGTGTGTCTCCATCACACCAGCCTGTTATAGACCCTCACTTAATGCTGCTCAGATGGTGACAGTTCCTCTACCTCCTGTAGGTGGTACACCCACTCCAAGCCTCCCTTTGACGTCAAAATAAGGCTTGCTAACAATAGAAAAAGCCAATTTGTTACTAGTTCTTAATCCCCAATCACCATGGACAGGGCTCCAGGCTCCTTGTAATTTGGAGCACTCTCTCCCTCCCTTCCTCAGGCCAGTGTTGTTTGGCTGGTGAACTGTGTTCTCTACGAAGGCACCTAGCCCAGGGGAATGCTGGGGGCTGAAACCAGCCTGTATGCACCTCTCCAGTTACACACCTCGGGGCCTTCTTTCACACAAAAGCTCTCGACACAGGGGCTCTTGAGCACCCTTCTTATCCTACCCTGATAGCAAACTTGTGAGTGATGCAAATTCCTGGTCATACAAATCTATCAAAACAATCACCTAGGAGTGAAGTCTGAGACTCCGCATCTTCAAGCACAATAGTGATTCACAAGGCAAGAAAGCCAGTTCCAATTCATCTTTGATTCCCTGGCCCTTTTGCATAGGTCCAGAATGAGGGATCATCAACTCTCAATGCATGAATGAACAAAGAGATCTCCATCAGTCACTATGTAGTGGAACAGAGCTTATTTGCTGGACACAAAACTCTAGAGTCTGAGACTTCAACTTGAGCTTCTAAGACCATTTGAGTAGTCTTGGGCATGTGACCAATCTACTTTAAGGTTCTGATTTCTCCTCTTTCAAATGGAGACAGGCAATTACTCCTTGACAATACTGCTGTAAGAAGACCAGTATGCTGCTCATGGGCAAACAGCATGTAAATGTGAGCTGTTGTTTTTGTCGTTACAATTATTGGTGCTATTGTAGCAGTCCCATAAAAGGTTTTAACATCTAGCAGGCACATGACAAAACCTTGATAAACTTAGAACCAATAGCAATGTGCATAAGTGGACTGACTTGCTGGCAGAGGAACTTCCGGTTGGTAGGCTCTGCCAGCCCCATTCTGCCCTCCTTCCCCTGGTTTTCTGTAAAGGACAGCTAGCATGAAATGCTGCTTTCTAAGCAAGATGGTGATGGAATCATGGGTTCTGAATGTGCCCAACCTATAGCAGGCTCAGAAGGACCTCCTCACCTTGCTGGACTTATGATCCACGTTAAAGGTGGCGATGACTCCATCCGTCAACTCCCGTCCCTCTCGAAGCACCACATACTCGGACAGTCGGTTGGCCAGGTAGGTTTTCCCAGTACCACTGGGGCCGGAGAGAATGATGCGCCGGTGTTCTATCAGCAGGGAGACGTAGCGCTGCAGGATGGGCTTGGGGATCAAGGACTCAAACACTAGGGAGTCCAAGCTGTTCTCTGCAAGCCCTGCCCAGGAAAGAGATGGAGTGTTTGAAGCCCCCTAGGAAGGGGAGCTCTCTGTTTGCCTAATTGGGACTACAAAACCTTTCCTCGGCAGTTCACTCACCTGAGAGCCCTGCCCACTCAGGTATACTGGAGGCTATGAGCTAAACGTCACTGCTCCAGAAGTCACCTCTCTGTCCATCAACCCCTGACTTGGTTGACTTTCTCACATTACTCACCTTTAATATTTGGGTCCCCAGTCTTTGATTGTCCTCTGTAGAATGTCTAACACTCTGCTCTCTGCTTGTCTGTCTGGATTTATATACCCATGGTGCCTGCCCAAACTATACCTGAACCTTGTTCACTTGTGTCTGCCACAACCCTAGGGTTGCCTCTTCTCTCTGTTCTTCCTGCCTGTCAGGCACCATACTACCCACACTTACATGCAGAATTAAGGTGACAACACTTTGATTTTTACAATGAGGAACAATGCAAAGTGGGATTGTTTGCTTTTGGAATGTGAATACTGACTGAAATGCTGAAATGCTACATACTGAGATCTTTGATCTTCAATGACATCAAGTGGAAATTTATTTTTCCACCTTACCTTGAACACTTTCATTAACCACGATTGTTGGATTTAAAAGAGCTATTTTGATAGCACTGCAAAAGAAAATCCATCCACGGCTAGCCATTCAGAACCTAAGGTAATTCTGCATAAATACTGCCCCTAAGAAAACCAGGATATATAAGTAAAATAGTAACCTGAAGGGCACTTATTCTGTTTTATAATAGCATCTTCCTTTCCCATTACTCACACTAAGCAGATGTTCCCCTCATGCATTTGTGTGTTTATTTCTAATCATCCCCTAACCAAGAGTAATCCCCTAAAAGCAGTAGCTGCTCTAGAATGACAATGACAAAGGTCTTCAAATGTCTTATCTGCTAGGGACAGGCCTAAAAGCTTCCCATTACTGAATTCTACACTGGCTCAAACATTGATGCAAACTCTGTAATATAGGGTTCCAGGTCTAAATTTAATAATGATGACAATAATAATAATAATGATCACAGGGAAAAAAAAATCACTTAAACACCTTCTCTGTATATATGTTGCTACTTAGGTCTTTTGACATCTAACCCTTTTTGAGTGACTATACTGCAGATGGACTTGCTTCAGAATATGCAAAGTCACTTCTCTGTTCCTTGTATCACTGAAGTGAATCACCACAGCTTATGGATTTCTTTCAAGTCAAATCCTTATGTAGTTTTTAGTGCTTTTAAAGCATAAGTTCAAATGCCACGGGAAAATAAAAGAGTCAAGGGTCACTGCAAAATAAGCCTGAGCTGATCACTTCAGGTGCTAGAATGATGTGCTGACAGCAGCCACAGCCCAGGCTTCATGGAGGGTGGCATGTTCCACCAAAGCAGGTAATCTTGTCTCTGTTTCTACAGAGGTCTGGTCTAGTCTCAGCAACAGGTCACTCCCTTTACTACTCAGTTTGTAATGCCCACCTGTAAAAGAGCATGAGACTATGCACACTGGCAGTACAGACAAAATGTAATTTGAGGCCAGGATATAATTTCTTTAAATGCTTCTTGCACTGGGTGCCAGTGGCTCCTGCCTATAATCCTAGCTACTTGGGTGGCAGAGATCAAGGAGGATGAGAGTTTTAAGCCAGCATGGGCAAATAGTTCTCAAGACCCTATCTCAAAAACACATTTCACAAAATAGAGGGCAGGTGGAGTGTCTCAAGGTGTGGGTCCTAAGTTCAAACCCCACTATGGGGGCGAGAGGGGGATGGGAGAGAGGAAGGGTTCTTGATGTGGACAATTGTTCAGTATGCCTGGTGCCTCCTTCTGCTTCCCCTTGTACTGGAATTCTTCTTTTTCATTGGGAGTTCAGTTCATATGGTTCAAAGGAAACTCACCCATTGTGTAGTGCTTCATCTACACAATGGGATGGGCCAGTCAACCTAATCATAATGACTGACTCAGTGATGGGCATTTGACTCCTGGTGGGCTCAAGTCAACCCTAGAAATTTTCTGTCAGACTTCCAGAAAGATCTCTTTTCTTTAGAGTCCTCAGTTAGAAGGATGAATCAAGGCTACAGGAGACACTTAACCATATCTTGAGAGCTCAAAAAGTAAGCAAAGCAGTACTGAGCCAAGCTGAGGAATGCCTGGTCCTGATGACACCATGTAAGTACCTGGATCTAGCTGTACCTCATGCATCCTGTGTTTCCTAGGTCTCAGAGCCTATATATTTCCCTGTATGTTGCTGCTACTTTTGCATTGGTTTCTGTCACTTTTAGTCCAAGGGAACAATTGTGGAGTTCCACTTGCCAACAGGATACGGCTGGGTGAGGTCTAAGCAGCAAAATGCCACTTGTCACCAGCAGAGTAAGATCTTGATTTCTACTGGTGGGAACTTTTGGGGTGGTTTTGTAAAACCTACTAGCCATGAATTAAAGCTTGCATTAAAGAACTCCAAAATCACAGTCAAGAACAGTGCCTTTAAGGAAGTAAGAACGTGAGTGCAAAGGATGGGCCTAATACAGTGTTCAGCAAAATTCATTACTCAGGTGCTTCATAAAAAACATGAAATAGATGGATTTTGCAATTAAATAAATTTGGGACTGTATTGAGCTGTCTTTTTAACAGCAGGGTTAGGACACTGAAGGACAGAGCCATTAAAAACCAGTGCACTTCCAGCCCCAGCTCTCAAACCAAAATGGGAATAATAATGGACACTTATTTGGCTGTGAAGCTTTGTTCCCCCTATGGAGAACTTTGGGGCCTGGAACTCCATGGAACACACTGTGGCCTGGGGCTTAACATCTCTGCGTAATGAGGTTTCAGAAGCTCAAGCAACACCATGCCTGGACAAGAGCTTGGCAGTCTTATCACGATGCTCAGTGCAATCACCCTGTAGCCTACAGCACATTGCAGTTTCTCCATCTGTAGAATGGGAACACATCCAAGGCTGGCTGGTGAGAGTTACTCATTGCTATTGGTAAAATGCCATTTCAGTGGGATTTTTATGATTCCATCATCTCAGAATCATAAAGCTAACGGGACCTTTTGATATGTAATTTTAGCAATAAACCAAAATGATTTGTTTTCAGTGGTGGTTGGAAAGCTAAAGACTACTCAACTTGCTTAGGTAAGAGTAATTGTGCTAGAAGGTTAAAAAAAAAAAAGAAAGAAAAAACAACCCACATACATATGAGCCAATAACGTGGGCACAGCTTCCTATGCCAAGTCACAAAGCTCCAACTGCCATTCCTGAAAGCCCTGACCTCACAGGCTACTTACCTTTGACAGTCACGGAGATGGTGGTGTTCTCTCCCACCAGGTAGCCGCAAGGCAGGAGCTCAGGGGTCTCGGAAGTGTTGCTGCGCTTTATCTCCCCAATGCTATAGCCAAGAACACTGTCCGAATTCAGCCCCAGCTGACTCACAGGGTCAACGTGAATGATGTATTCCTGGAGAAAATAAAATAAAATAAAGACCCCATCAAAGAGGTGGCTAAATTCTGCCCATAACTCATGTTTTCCTTGGGTGATTTATGGTCATTCGCTCTTCTTCCTCAGATGATAACTGGGTTGAAATCAGGCTACGGAAGTAACTACGGGGGGATGTCCCAGTATCCCAGGCCTCTTAAAATACAGACTTATTTGGTTAGGGATGGGAGAGAAAAACAAGACCCTAACAAGACTGCACATTTAGTCTGGATGAACCAAGCATGGAAAAGCTAGGCTGCTAAGTTCAAGTCTTGAAGGTACTTTGTGAATGGTGCTGGGAAATTCATGAAAAAGTAACTCTGACAGGAAGTCTCCTCACGAGTTCAGAGCAAATACCATAGTGACAACAAAGACAGCAAAACCCAGAGAAGTTAGAAAAGAAAAACAGCTACATAGCTTTAAAAAGGAAAAAGTATCTACTTGGGGGTGGAGATTGGGAATATCATGGTTCAAGACCAGCCTGGACAAAAAAGTTAGTGAGACCCCATTTCAATAAGTAAGCCAGGTATGATGGCATGGGGGCCTGTGGTCCCAGCTACCTGGAAAGCTGTAAGTAGGTGGACTGCCACCCAGGCTGGCTGTGGCAACAGAGGGGAGAACCACAAGATCCTATCTAAGAAGTAACCTTAAAGTTAAAAAGAGCTGGAGGCATGAACACTTGCCTAGGAAGAGAAATGCCTTGAGTTTAAATTTCAGTACATCCCCCCACCCTCACCCCAAAAAAGGAAAGGAAAAAGTATGTATAATTTGGAAAGTACAAAAGGCTTTAGATCAGTGATCATGGAACTATGGTCCATGGGCTGTGAGGTGGCCATATGACGGCTAAGATGACTCCTAGTAGTAGCTTTCTAGGGTCTTATTTCCTCACTTACTGTGACCTCAGAAACCCACAGTGTTGTCTTTCTAATCTAAGAATGTCTAATATAAAGCAGAGATTACGGCTTTTTTTTTTTTTTTTTAATTATTGTTGTTTCAGGGGCTCACTATGTAGACCAGGCTGGCTTTGAACTAGTAATCTTGCTTCAGCTTCTTGAATGCTGGGATTATAGCTGTGCAGCATCACACTCAGCTCAGAGATTAGGTTTTGGCTGAGGTAACAGAATTGGTCTGTCCTAAACCATTTACGTCTCTTGCCACTTGGATGTAAATGCTAGAAGAGATAATGGTGTACTAGCTAAGTCAGGTTTTGAATGAAATTAGACCAACTAAACTGAACTGTTGGTCTAGTTCTAGGTCCACAGCATTAGGTAAGTTCTCTAACCTGAGCCCCACTTTTCTCACCTTCAAATGGGAAAATAAAAGGCTTAGAATTTACCTCTGACAAAGAACACACAGGCCATTATTACTTCTCAGGGATATGATTAACAAACACTTAAGGCTGTTGACTTCCTTCAAGACAACAGAAAAAAGGGCCCAACAGTTTCTTTTAACTCACCTTGTGTTCAAGATTCCTTAGGTACTTACTAGCTATTTCTCCTGTAGCAAACACCCAAACCAATGGTGTGAGTAGCAAGGGCAGAAAAGTAACTGTGCCAGCATCCCTGACACTGACCAATGGTGGGACATAGTTGCCACTTGTAGAATCAGAGCTTCTCCTGCACTGACACAGGATAATGAGCAAGTGGGATCAACCTCTCCCCCTTCCGAAATGGACAGAAAGGTGGTGTCTTAGCCCTAGCCACAGATCAAAGACTCAAATGCTTATTTAACAAGACACAACTACAGGTTAAAAAAGACTTTGGATGGGAGCAGTTCACTGTAAGAGGATCAAATCCCTGCCTAAATGAGTTTCACCTTTCAACTAGCCACTGACAAGGGCAGTCAACTTACCATCACCCTTCCATTTCTTGAGAGCCAGGGTCCCAACCACATAAGGATGCAGAGGAGGGGGCACGCCAGGGAAATGGCCCAGTTCAGGACACAAGCCTCCCTTTCCCTCCCGGAGCCCACTGCTGTAGCTTTCTTCTTGAGACACTTACTTTGAAGAGACGTCTAACCACCCCATCGAGCACATCCCACTTCGTCTTGCCACTAACTCCAATGCAGCCAATAAGAAAGAGGTGTGGTCTGGAATCCTAAGGGTAAGGAAATGTATGCAGGTGAAAAAACAGATGGATGTTTTCTGTCCCAGTTCAGGAGAGGACTTACATTGCCTTAAGAACTCCACCAAGGGTTTGGCAGGGGGAATAAAAGTCCTTTTGTTTCAACACCAGGCGTAACTTAGCTGGAATGCAATATCTTTAAAACCTTTCCCTGCTCTACTGCTAAAATTGCATGGGTCTAGAAGACAAAATTCTCCTCTCTGGAATCTTAAACTTCTGCTAAGTGCATACCTTGTAGGGCACAGACCACACTTCCCTTGTCTGGAATCCTCTCACACTTTCCATCTGCCACCTCTCCTTTTCAAACCTAACTTAAAGAACTCACCTGTTCCAGGAAGCCTTTAACTACCTGGCTTAGACCTTACAATGATTCAAAGATTTAGATACAATTTACACAATGATATATTCAGTACTTCTATGTATTTAGTTTCAGCTATTTCTCTCTTTTTTTTTTTTTTTAAATCAAGTTTGTCTCCTTGCTATATCTTAGAACTTCTTCAGGACAGAATATTTCTAATTTTTCCTTTTCTTCTTTGTTGTTTCTTTTAAAATAACATTTTTAAAAAAATTTTTCTTATTAAAAGATAAAAAGAAATATGCTAAATTAACAAAACTAGTAAACTCTCAGAAGAATGCCAAAAAATCTTTTTTGTACTCCTTTTGCATCTATACCCACAGGGGCTAAATTGTCACATTGATTAAAAGAAAGCTGATAGAACATTCCATTCTGTTGGGTTTTGAAATATTTCACATGCTTGTAAAGGGCCTGGAGAGGGGTGGGGCTGGGTGGAGGGGCAGAGGCCAGTTAAGCAAAATCAGCAGAGGGAAGAGTGCCAGTCTAGTAGTGAGGTGATCTGACCCCATCACTCGCCTTATGGCTTCAAATAAGTAATGTTTGGGTCCTGGGTTTCTTAGCTATAAAAGAGAGATAATAACCCCTGGTCAGTCAACCTCTCCTGGATACTACAATAATCCAGAAGGATATAATTAGTGAAATGATGTGCAAACTTTAGAAAAACAAGCTCTAGCTGTTCATCCTAAAGATCACTAGAGTAACTGATGTTCAGAAGGATCATTTATTCATTATAGGAATGTTTTAAGAATGGATTTCTCCCCTGACAGTCTGTTACTCTGCTATTTGGGTTTTGAGGATGGAGCTATTTGGTATATTTTTCTAGGATAGATGATACTACTACCACCCTTGGAAGCTCCAGAATTGTGGACTTAGCCCCACAGTGAGGCCAGTGAGCCAGTCACAAAGTGGGAATGCTGGCAGAAGAAAGTCTGGCTGCAGACACTCTGCTTTGATGAGCACTGCAGGTTCCCTAGCTGTCTCTAAGTATTACAGCAATAAAAGCAATATAATAGCATATTGGCTATGAATGCTAAAAATTTTTAAAAAAATAAAAAATTTAAGGGGACATGAAATGGTGACTCAAGGGCTGGCAGCATGACTCAAGTGGTAGAGCACCAACCTGGTAAGCACAAGGCCCCGAATTCAACCTCCAGTGCCACCAAAAAAGAAAAAAAAGAAGACAATTTCTGAAATGGTGACTCAAGGGGCCTTTTCCATTTACTTGAGCCAAGGTCATTCACACCATTATTGGAATTTAAATACTGACTAAAACATAATTTTTATTGTCAACCCCCACCTCTATCCCTAAATAGTGTCTGACAGTGGTATGGACTTCAGAAGAGAACAGAAACTGTATTCAGAAAACTCTGATTTCCCAGCCTCAGTGACTCAAATCGCTCCACCAGCTCCACTTTCAGCCACCTGCGTGCTCCCTGGACTTGGCTGCTTCTGTTTCTCAGTGTCTTCTTTGACCACAGCCTCTGATAAGGTTTAAAACCATGCTCTCAGCTAGCTCAGTTCAGTTGACTTACTTCTGTACAGTAAGTGCTGAATGTGCTTAGTTGCCTTGGAAGTGCCTTGGGAATATATTAAATTCATAAGCACCATTTCTGAAGATGTTAGTGTTTAGTTAATTACAGGAAAGTGAAATGTGGAACATTTTTAGTATGCTTTATTAGACTTTTAAAAAGGAGAGAAAGGGAAGTGCCAATCTCTGACTTTGTGTCAAAGGGCTGCTGGAGGTCAAGGTTACAGCAGTCTCCACTTATCCAAGGTTACAGGGTCAACCCAATATACTGTTACAATTATTTTATTTTATTATCCATTATTATTACTAATCTCTTAAAGTACCAGATTTTTATAGTAAGCTTTATCATAGACATGTATGTATAAGAAAAAACATAACATTCAGTACTATTGGTGGCTTCAGGCATTTCTTGGGGGTCTCAGAATGTCCCCTGTGAATAAGAGTGGACTACTGTATCAAGAAAAGCATTAGTAGTGTTTCCAAATCACCTTAGGCTCTGAGATGAACCAGTTTTATGATTAAATCACTAAAGCTAGGTAGTTCTACCTGGGAAGGGACAGGCAGAGCAGGGAAAGGGATCAAACTAACCTCCTTCCATTTCATTTCCTCCTGAAAGCTGACAACTATCTTAACATGCCTGCCTCCTTCCTTCCGAGCCGAGCATTCACCAGTGTCATCCAGCAACATGTCTGCGAATGGAAAACATCAACAGCCTTAGGCACATGGGGACAGCAAAGCTGGCTTCCTGACACCCCCGCTGCCTGTGGGCACAGCAGCGGGACAAACCAGGTGTCGGGGTGCAGGGGAAGTAGGGTGGAAACAGGGGAGGGGGCAGAATGGAGAATGCAACCACAGAAACCAATGGTGGACCAACCAAGAAACCAGCGGGCTGACGATGCATCTTGCCAAATGGAAGTGCGAGGGAGAGACTCAACCAAAACAACAGCAACAGCAGCATCATGGATAAAAATAAAAGTGCCAGCCTCAATATGCTTACAAAGAAAACCTAGGTCAGGTTCAAGGATGATATGCCAGCCTGGAGTCCATCCCAAAGGCAGGAGGGCCACAGGCCAAGCCCATTTGGAACCTGCAATTGTGGGGTGTATGCAGCATTCAGCTTGCAGGTCAGCCTCTTAAAATGGATCAAACAGAATTCAGCATGGTGGGTGAGGGGATCCAAGTTCACGGCTTGGAGAATTTGGGGCACTGGAGCAAAGCATGAGAGCACTCTACGGCTGGGCTCATGTTGGTAGCAGACGCACACACCCAGACACATACACCCCAAGTGCACACACGCCTGTTGCCTCTCCATTTCATCTGTCAGCCTGCTTCTCCTGGGGCTCTTGCTTGGAGACTAGAGTGCCAGCTGCAGGTCCAGGCCTGCCTCCAGCCCAGTAGCTACTCACCCAGGCTGGATGACTCGGTGAGGTTCAGGCTGTGCTGGGACAGACCCATGGACTGCCTTGGAGATGCAGAGATGGACACCTGGGAGGGGGCCCGGCTGCAGCCACTGCCTTGAGACTCTGATTTCAGCCGGTCATTCTCAGCTTTCAGCTTCTCTATTTCACTCTGTAAAGAGTAAGTAAGAAGCCCACTTAGTAGGTGAATGTAATGGAAACAAGCTTTTTTTCTAGAGGAAGGATCTGGAAGTTCCCTGCTGGAACCAGCTGGCTGGCCAAGCTGAGGCAAGTAACACCCTCAGGGAGAGGCAGCAGTGTGTCCTGCCTTTGCTGTGTATCTAAGATGTGTCCGGCAGGGCAGGGCTCATCCTTTCAGAGAATTGACCTTTAAACAAGGCACTTCAACACTTGACTTTCCTGGTGTCTGCTGTCCAAGTGTTCAGTGAAGAAGAGTTTTCTAATTTGGATTTGACAGCTTTCTTTATTGTAAGACTTCTCAGAGCCTTTAATGAGCTATGCTCTGCGAATCTGAGAGGGGCATTTCCCAAACATATGTAATTGAGGGGTTCTTCCTTTCATAGAGCTTCTTCTAGAATGAAGAAGACTCATTTGGGAAAGGCTGCTCTCTGGTGAGTTCCTATAAAGCACACCCCAGGAGAATTTTTCATTCTATGAATGAAGACCCTAATGTGTGCAAAACAGTAGTGCCAGGTTGAAAGAAAAACACACCCTTTGGCAGGAAGGGGGACAGCTTGTAAGAATAATCTGTAGCAACATTCAGAGAAGGTCACTGAGTCTTCCAGCTGCAAGACTTGGAAAGGCTTTACAGAGGAAGTGGCATGAGGCGGAGCCTTGGAAGAAGGCTCCAATTTGGATGGGCAGAAGGATATTCCCTGGAAAGGGAATAACATGAAACAGAAACACACAGGACATGCAGAGCAAACCATCATGAGTCCATTTGGCCTGTAAGAAGAGTGTGAAAAGCATAGTTGGAAGACTGGCATGAACCGAGTGAAAAAAGCCCCACAAGAAGGTTTGAAGGGCACTGCCCTACAACTCAGGACAGAGGAGCATGAGTTTTATACGAAGGGGGAGCATGATTATTCTTATGCTATTCAAAGACTGCTCCAAGCAGTATATGGAAATGACTAAAAAGACAAAAAGGCTGGAAAGCAGAGGGCAGTCAGTATGGAGACCTTGGATTGTTGGAGAGCAGCTTTCCAGAGCTCTTTCCCAGGCAGCTCCAGGCGCTATCCACCTCTGATCTCTCACCTGCATCCTGTTCATGGCCTCCCGGAGCTGGTCCAGCTGGTGGGCAGAGCTGAGGGCTTCCAGACGGATGTCTGTCAGCTTCATCTCCTTGTCTCTCAGCTCATTTCGCAGCTGCATGACCGTCTCGGCTTCACTATCCATGCACTCCGAAATTCTAGGGAAAGAAGATGTTACTACCAAAATAGTTCTGGGTTTATCTCCTTTCAGTCTACTTCCACCAGTGGTCCAGGTCATCATCAGGTGTGTTCAGCAGTAACTATGTATAACCAGATACCAAGGTGCTTCCCACCTGAAAGTCACCAGTTTTGTTACTTCTCTGCACTCTTTGCAGAGCTCCAGCAATCAGAGGGACTGGTGTGCCTTTCCATGAAATTCCAATAATGGAGGGATGAGCAGGAGCTGGCAAAAGGGAGTAGTAACCTTTGGGGTTGAACATTCTCCAGTGTGTATACAACTGGGCCCCTGTAATGACATCACATGGTCTTTGCATTCTAAACACACTCAGAAAAGCAAAGTCAATGGTCTGCTTTCAAGGTCAGAAGCTCCAAGAATGAATAGCTGAGGGGTGATTTTTATTGGTCAAAAAGGGGAATATATATGGGTGAAAGAAGTTCATTTGTTTCTGATCTCATTCCAAAAATTCACTCCCCAGAAAGTGTCTAGAGAGACCAATCTTCTTTTAGTTCCCCATCCCCTGCCAGCTTCATATGCTCATGGCAAGAAGAGATTCACAGAGTTAATACACTAGAGGGGACAAGGCGACACAGAGGCCAAAGTGTTTTCTGAAGACCTCACAACAGATTAGCTAGTGTCTTCCTTTCCCAGCTGTGCATCAAAATAAAGTGACCATGGGATCTGGCTGAGTGGTTCTGTCTTAAGAAAAGGCTAAGCTGGACTCTTTAATTGGTTATGTTTTTCTTCAGACTCCTTCAGTATAAAGTAGAAGACCATAAAAGTCATGATGAATTGCAATTTACAGAAAAGAGAGTTCATCTAAAAAAATATTTCTGTGAGTGTGAAAGGTCATAGCATCTGAGCCCGGCACCAGTGGCTTGCACCTGTAATCCTAGCTACTCAGGGCAGAGATCAGAAGATCGCGATTTGAAGCCAGTCCCAGGCAAATAGTTCATGAGACCCTATGTTGAAAAAACTCACCACAAAAAAGGGGCTGGTGGAGTGGCTCAAGCAGTAAAAGTGTCTGCCTAGCAAGTATGAGGCCTTGAGTTCAAACCCTGCTGATGCCCCCCAAAAAAGAAAAAGAAACAGAAAAAAAAAAAGGGTCATAGCATCTGAGGTACTGGGTGATCCAGAATAGAAAGAAAACTTGGGTGCTTCTTGACTGATAAGACAAAGAAAAAAGCAACTAGGAAACAACAACAACAAAAAACACCCCCAAGTTCATAAGTTACAGAGCTGAAGCTGATTATGCCTGGAAGAGATGAGCATGGGGTCTCGGCAGCAGCAACCATGTAAGCCAGCTCTCTAACACCCAAGTGTTGGACTTATGGCCAAACACAAAACCTGACCTGTAAAACTGCTTGAGGGGAAGCAAAATCACCAAAGGAAAATGATTTATAAGATTTTTGAAAGAGATGTAATTGTATCGAGGGGTAGAAAGAACAAGAAGAAAAGTTTAACACTTGAACAGCCAAATCTTTCTGGTGCTATTTTCTTGACCTGAACCAGAACTGTTTTGATTTGAGAGACAGAAAGAAATTGTAGTCACTTCCTAATTTTAAAAGTTCTCAGAAAGCTGGGTATGGTGTTATATATGCCTGCAATCACAGCACTTAGAAAGGAGGATCTCTGTTGGAAACCAGCCTGGGCTACAAAGCTGCTAACAAAAGTTATCAGCAACCAAGGAAGCTTCTGAGCTTCAAAATTTCCTTGAAAAATGCAAGGAACTCCTAAAAACATTATTATTCCTATTCTATACCTATGAGAAACTGATGAAGCCAATATACTTGGACTAAAAGGACTGGAGTGACAGAAATGCCTTTCGAATTCAGATTCCCCTTTTCCCCAGCTCTTTGTGCTTTAAGTTGCCTGTGATTTAACGACAGAACCATGCTTCTTCTGGTTTGGGAGGTTTGTAGGGGGAGCTTGTAAAAATTGGTTCTTTCTTGAAAGAACTATGGTTTCCTGGTTTAAATGAGTGTAAAGTCTGAGCAAAATTCCATTGTGGCACTCTAGTCTTACTCAACTCATGCCCTGCACAGATCCTGATCCTCTACTTCATGGCAGAGAACAACGTGGTCTGATCCTCACTGGGAATAATTGGTCTGCCCAGCACTCCACAGAAAAGGACTCTACTCAAGTCCCCATCACATGGTCTGAACCTTTTCCTCCAGAAAGTGAATTTTGAGGATTGTATTATATGAGTTGCTTTGCAGGACTTGGCCAGTCAGAGACTTACAAAGGTGATAGATAGGGTATGGGTGTCTGCTTCCAAACTCATACTGAAACTGAAACCCCAAAGCCATATGGAGGAAGTCTTTGGAAGGTAACTAGTTTTAGATAAGGTCTTAAGAATGGGGCCCAGTGATTGAATTCATGGCTTTTTAAGAAGAGGGAGAGAAGATGGGTGCCAGGGGCTCCTGCCTGCAATCCTAGCTACTTGGGAAGATCAAGGTTCAAAGCCAGCTGGAGCAAAAATTTACCGAGACCCCATCTCAACCAATAGCTGGGCAAGGTAGCAATGTGCTTGTCATCCCAAGCTATGTGGGAGGCTGAAATCAGAAGGACTGTAGTTCCAGGCCAGCCTGGGGAGAAAAAAAAAGTTTGTAAAACTTTATCTCAATGTAAACAAGCTGGGCATGGTGGCATGCTAGTGATGGCAAGAAGTGTAAAAAAGGAGGTTTGCAGTTCAGGCTAGTCTGGGCGAAAAGCAAGACCTTATTTCCAAAACAATCAGAGCAAAAAGGGTTGGAGGTGTGGCTCAAGTGGTAGAGTGCCTGCCTAGCAAGTGCAGAGCCCTCAGTTCAAGCCCCAGAAATACCAAAAAAAAAAGAGGGAAAGAGCCCAAGTTAGCTCTATCCTGCTATGTAATGCAATGACCCAGCAAAAAGTCACTGAGCAGATGCTGGTGCCATGGGCTAGAACCACAAGCTACATCGAGTTCTATTTTTGGTGGGACTAGGGTTTGCACTCAAGGCTTTGCCTTTGCAAAGGAGGTGCTCTACCACTGGAAACTGCACTGCTAGTCCACTTTGCTCTGGTTATTTTGGAGATAGGGTCTCTTGAGCTATTTGCCTGAGCTGGCATTGAACCATGACTCTCCTAATCTCAACCTCCCATTAGTGCCCACCTCATAGGTGTCTATTTTTTTTTTTTTTTTTATAAATTACTCAATCTGTAGTATCAGTCATTGCAACAGATAATAATCTAAGACAAAGTAGGAGCAAGCCAAAATAAAGAAACCTGGTGTGGGAGTACAAGTTTTATCCCAAATCATCTAGCTATCAGAAATGTATAATGTAGTGGTCTCATGAGAGGGAAGTCCTCCCAAAGAGATGTTACTGACAACAAGTTCCTTTAGCAGCAGCCCCGACCAAGTCTTAGCCCCATCCCAACTGTACAGGACAGGACAAAGCCTTCTCTTTCCGTTGGTTCCTTATCTAACTAGACTTATGCTATAACTCTGATAATTTTATTGCACTTAACAGGTTACCATGTACTCTTTCGGCTGGCTTCTCTAGGACCAGGGCATTTCTGTGTGTGATTTCTCCTGTCTGGTCACATTGATCAACACACACATAGCAGGTGATCAGCAATGTTTACTGCATACAGGAATAACTGAGCTAGGCATATTATTTCACTCACTGTACACATACGAACTCCATGATGAGGTACAATAATTACCTGCTTTTAAAATGGGGAGGATGAGGCACAGAAAGATTAACATGTCCAAGATCACACTATTTAAGCATGAAAGAGTTGGTATAAAACTTGGTAGCTTTGCTCCTGAACTGTATCCAGTAGGCAATCAATACATGCTTGTGAACTTCATGGATCACTTACTGAACAACCTGATGTATTTTGTCTCAGTCCTTGGCTGACTGTTACAACATATTCCCACTGTCTTGTCCAGGGGCAGGCTGGTGGCATGCATAATTTTAAACGCCTTGAGTGTGGGAAACGATGTTGTTCCTCATCTGCCATTCCTTTCGCCCACGGGGTGGAGAATTCTCTAAGCCCAACTCCTCTGCCTTTAGTTTCTTCTTTGAACTCCCTCTCACATCTAGATTTGCACATTCTTATAAACCCTTCAAGGTTGAAAATAAGCATTTGCTCTCAGCCCACCCTTTGGAAAACTAGACCAAAACCAAACATCTCCAGTGTCCATGGAGGCTGTGGAATGTAAGAAAAGGGCTGGGGAGCCAAGAGCCTGCCCTGCCCCATCCCTACGGGAAAAGTGGTTTGGAAGCAGCCTTCCTGCTCATGGTCCTATACTGTTGAGTGCATCACCACCACTCTCTCCTTGCCTGACATGACCACCCAGTACCATGTAACCCAATTTTTATTTCCTTCTCCTAGCAGTTTCTTCCCTTTGCTCCCTGGGTTTCCTCCCACTTCACTGACTGCTCTACTTTCTCTTCTTAAACTTCAAATATCAGTGTGACAGAGCTCAGTCCTTGCCCCTCCAATCTTCTTCATCTCCACTCAACTCCCATTTCCTAATTTTCAGTGCTAACTATGAATCCACATCTCCCAAGTCTATGTATCCTGGAACTCCAGGATGGTTGACACCCCATGTGAATGTCTCCTGTGCTTCTCACTTAATGTGGGCAAACCAGGCTTCTGATTCCCACCCTACTCCAAATAGGTCCCATCCTTCCCCCCCACACACACACACTCAAGCTGCAAATCTAGGAATATCCAAGGATTGCTCCTCTCTTTCCCTTGTACTCTACATTGGATCCATCACCATGAGCTGTCAACTTTTCTTCAGAACTAAATCTGCCAAGGAAACACAATTACCATCAGCCAATCCATCACTGTACCAAATATTTGACTGGCTGCTAAGCCAACAAAGTATCCACCTCCTACATCGTGGATCTGGAGTAGGGTAAGGGACAGAGAACAAAAACCAAGGAAAATCTAGGTGTCAGTTGGAATATGTGTAATAGTGAAAAGTGAAGTAGAGGAAAGGGGACAACAGAGTGCTGGTTGGTGGTGGTATGACTTTACTCAAGGTGCACAGGCCTTGTTGATAAAGTTGCACGAAGCAGAGACATGAAAAAGTGAATATCCAGAGGAGCATATCTGGCAAAGGGCACAAGGGCAAAGGCCTTCAGGTATGGGCGTGTGATCTGAGGGTTCAAAGCACAACTAGTGGCCCGAGTAGCGTGAACTGGGAAAAGCACTAGCCACCTCCATGATCTCTCTTTACTCTTGCTCCCCTATATTCTTTACCCACAGACACTAACTCAGATTATCTCACCTTTCTGTTTAATGCTCCCCCATGTCTATCCATTACACACAAAATCAGATACGACTTCACTTTGACTTCAAAATTCTCTCTGTTGCAGGTTCTGCCTACCTCTCTATGGCCTCCTTTTCCACCACTCTGGTCCTTCACTGTCCTATGGCGGGCAGGCCAATGATTCCTCCTTCTCAGACTCATCAAGCCCTGTTTCTACATTGGGTTCCTTGTGCTGTTTTTTCTCGGGAAGGCTGTCCTGCTCATTATGAGGCTGATCAGTGTTCACCACAGCCTATTTCCTTCTTCACTTCTTCCCTTGCAGGTGGTATGACCCTGGATTCTGGTCAGTGGACAATAGGAAGAGAGGACATGTGCCTCTTCCAGGCCTGGCCCATAAAACCCTCCTGCAGAATCTTCTGTACTCTCCTCTCCTTCTCCTGGCTGGACATAGAGCACTGAGAGGAGGACTAGGTCATGGCAAGCAGCCTGCTGACAAGGAATATCTGCACTGGGTTTGGAGTGAGCCAGAAATAAACAGTGTTAAGTAAAGCCACTGAACTTTTGGATGGAGTTTGTTACCACAGCTCATGTTTCTGACCAGAACTAAATAGTGGTTCCTCCTATTACAAAGATCTCAGCTGAAATGTCACCTTCTCAGAGGGGCCTTCCCTGACCATTCCATCTGAAGTTGCTGCCAGGGTCATCAGTATCCCAGTACCATTTTCATTTGTAGCATTAACCCTTACAACAAACTGGCTTTTCTAGTTCATTGGGACTCTGTGTTTAATGCCCACCTCCAACTTACAGTAGGCAGGGTCAACCAGAAAAGGAACTTTATCAGTCTTGGACACTGTTGTACCATGGAGCCAAAAGAATGCTTGGCAGAATGAAGGCTCAGGAGTTGAGTAACTGTACTGTATCATGTCCCCAGGAGTCTCTAGTCTCCTCAGGGTAGGCATCTAGTTCACCTCAATCTCTGCAGAATACCTGGAATGCTGGTCAGCTCACACAGCCTGCTCTACAAAAAGTTCAAATCCAGAAATCAAGAGGATGATGAATTGATAAGTTACTTTTTCTTGGCAGTATGAGGCTTGAACTCAGGGGCTCACACTTGCTAGGCAGGTGCTCTACTACTTGAGTCACTCCATCAGCCCCTCCTTTTTCTTCTTGTCAGGAAATGACCGAGTTGGGATGCTTTGGGATGGATGATAGCCTGTGTGAGACCTGTCCTGTCTTTACTTCTTGGACCAAGTAGATCAAGTAGGACCCATGCTGTCAAGCATTCATCTACTCTTTCTCTCAAGGAAACACAGCCCTGCAGCTCTTCAGTGTTCCTCCTCCTCTTCTAAATGAGATTTTAACCTTGCCCATAAAAGAAGTGCACACTCTGTGGCCACCCTCTCATCAGGGTGCTGCCCAATACAGGAGTTGATAGTCAACTACAGTGGAGACCCTGGTCGGGAGGGCCATGTTGTAAACTGTGTTTGCTTTACAGAGACCTGGCCCCTGGATGACTCATCTTCCTGCCTGCACTCTCTACAGTCACGTGCTAAGCATTTGGAAAGGGCTTGGGGCTCTTGTGTAGGCTACTGCCCTCAGAGGGCTGCCTGGATGAGTAGAATTGGGGTCTTCTCCACAATCTCAGTCTCCTGAGAACGAAGGGGGATGGAACAGTAAGATAGAGGGGCTTAGTGCACAGTATCTAATTTGCCTTTCTCAAGAATCCAATGAAGTAGATTCCAGTACCTCCATGTTAACCAATGAAGACACTAAGATTCATATAACACACCTCCTCCTCTTTCTAATCCTATTTCAATGGCTGTTCTGGCCCTAGCCAGATAGTCTTCTCTTAGGTACTGTCTCATCTCCCTGATAACATTCCTTGCAGGCTGTTTGTGACCTGGCTCATTATCAATAGCATACGTAATCTTAAATGGAATTTAGCGCTACTAGACGGGGGTAGCCTTTCTCATTAGAATCCAGCTTTGCCACTTTCTGAGCTAACACTAGGGTGCCCCATCATCCAAGCTATTCCTGCTTCTGGCTCTAGAGCACAGGCCTTGTTTTCTTAGACAGACACAAATCTGTCTTTCTAAGCTGGAATGGAGGAAGGAAGAACAATGCACAGTGGGAATCATGGAAAGAGAGCTGGGTGAGAGCAGATGGCTCTTGTCTTCCATGAAACAGCAGCTGAGGGGAATAGCATCTAGACATCTGAATGAAGCCAGCTGTGTCCCTTACAGAGGTACAAACTGCTACCTCATATTAAATGTCCTAGGGAAGCTTGCGATGAATCGTTTTATTAAATACTGAATCCTCTGGTAAGGACAACAGTCACTGAATCCATCCTTTTAAAAAAAAAAAAAAAAAAAAACCTCTCAATTTGAGTTCTGACCTTAGAGAAACAGTCAACACCAAATTTTAATCAAAGGAGAAAAGCATCTTCTAAGTCTTATCACCCAAATGAACCAGAATTTCAGCAAAACTGCCAACATGCATGCACCATTTGCCCCTCATAGCAAAAAGCTTCTGCCTCTAGCTTCTTTACGTCCATTTATCTGTTTAATGCTTAGGACAGTATACACAGACAACAACCCTTGCCCATTGTGACATACAAAGAAATGGAATCAAAAAGAAGTTACACAACTTACTGAGGCCAGTTACTTAAGGATACTGACACTACCCTAACTAAACCCTAAGTTTAATTAGTGAGACCCATCTCAACAAACAGACAAGGCATGGTGATGCAGACCTGTGATTTCAGGTATCCAGGAGGCATAGGTAGGAGGACTGAGGTCCAGGCTGGCCCCTAGCAAAAACAGGAGACCCTATCTGAAAAATAACTAAAGCAAAAAGGGCTGGGGGTGTAGCTGAAGTGGTTTAATGCCAACCTAAGGCAAGTGCAAGGCCCTGAGTTCAAACCCAAACAATCAAACAAACAAAAAGCAAAACACAAAGGAGATGACTCATAACCGGGCTTTAAGCCATTCCTATTTGAGAGGTATCATAAGGGCCAAAGACATCATCTGATGGGGTCACCCCAGTTAGAGAGACTCACAGAGAGTTGGAGTGAGAATTCCGCAGCAGTGGAGTGGAGCCAGTGGACCCATTGTGTGGGAGCTTTGGTGAGGAAGGCAAAGAAGAATCTGTCATCTCCTCAATGTCTGAATGAGAGGATGCCGACTTGGGGGACTTCTTCTTCCCAAAGGCTTGCTTGAAGGAGCTGCGTAACTGAATATACAAGATCATTAGTCTTGCAGGGGTGCAGCCAACAGTCAGGCTTTGGCTAAACAGAGACATGCATACAACAGAGTAATTAACCTTCCCACGTTTCCCCACTAATGGGAAAGGCTCCCAATAGCTCTTTCAAATCAGTGCATTAAGGGAAAAGGAGTTATCTGGTGTTGACAGCTCAGAACCGGACCTGTGGGGAACATTCCATGCCTATTCCTGGTTCAACAGCAAGACAAGCCTGGCTCAGCAGGTGGGGGTGGGAAAGATGAGGCTACACAGCAACAAAGCAGGATGCTCAGACATGGTGATGGATGCGGATGAGGTTAGTCATATCAATGGATGGGTTAGCTTGGTATCCGAAATTAAAGTTGGTCTTGCTTACCTCATTGACCTGCCAGAGAAAACGCAAGCAAAATGGGGAAGGGGAAGGGGAAGGAAAAAAGACAATTTTTAACAGAGAAAGCCAGTGACAGGGAAAGCTTTGGACTTTTCAGACACAACATGGCTAAAAAAAAAAAAATAAACATAAACACCACACACAGAGGAGGTTTCCAGTAGGAACATGAGCCTTTAACAGCATGGGGGCATCTTCCTCCATCATTAAAGGAAGGGAAGAATAGGATGGGCATCCCCAACCAGGATTCTTCCTGCTTCTTCCTGTGTGGTTGAAATGGCCACCCCATCTTCCTGTGCCTCTCAAGCTTTTCCTGCCTCACATTAGTCATCTCTTAATGCCTGAATTTGGGGAGTGGGGTCCTTCTTTTCTAAGTAGTACCAGCCTCACAGCTGCATTGGCCCCACATGGCTATAGAGCTCTTTTGCTGTGTTGACTTAGGAGTTCCTGCTGGCCTTATATGAAGATAATCTAGTAAGTAGGGAATTAGCCACCTCGCTCATTACTCAAAAAATAAAAAAAAAAACCTATGGAGAGTTGTTTAAGAAATTCACTAACAACTTTCCCACACCAAGACAGACCTGAAAATTTTAACAAGAACATAAAGATTGAAATGCAATTCTCTGAGGGCCATAATCAGTATATATTTTTCTAGGCTCCCCCCAAAAAAATCACATCTTTAAAAAAATAAAAAAAGACAGTTTGAAAAGTCACCTCCTTTTCCTAGTCTTTTTTCCTTCTGAAAATATATTCTAGGAGTTTTCTTAGCCACTGAGAAACTCAGAAGGTAGGCCATTTGACAAGTTGATGAGATTTTTCTTCCATTAATGTGTTTCCTCTCTAATAAACTGCATGTCCAGCTTGCAGGCAAATCTAGATCCCATTGCACTCTCATTTTCTGCTTCTCAGAGGAGTTATAGAAACAGGAGGAGTTGGCACATGAGCCAACAAACTAAATGCTTGCCTTCATGTCTGGTAAAATGCCAGGTAGAAGAGATTACAAAGATTAAACAGAATTAAAGTTTGGGAAAAGCTGGGAATGCCAATTGTCCATCCCCCCTGATGTCACTGATAAGCCAGAGTTGCCTTAAGACAGCACAAACAGTTTTAATTCTTGGTTTGAAAAAAATAGATAACCACTGTTTTCATAGACAATAATTCTCTCTCATCACTTTGATAATCGAATCAGACTATCTTTATCAACTGTATATTAGAGATGGCAACATGAGTTAATCTTATCGTTTAGTCATAGCAAATAAGATATCTAAAAGCTATTAGTAACTTAAAGGAAAAAAAATGAATTGCTATGATAAGAGGGTCACACTAAGCTGGCCTTTTAGCTCACTCCAAGGTAAGTCATCAATAACCAAAATCCTCAATTCGTCTATCACTAGACCTCGCCACCCATCCAAGATGACACAAAATGAGTGAAAGGTGTATGGAATGACTGAGGACACTGGGGCCATGAGGAAAACACAATGCTCTTTGCAATGGCAATGGGGCTCTTGGAGCACTGGCCATCTTCAGATTGACACGGGGTGTTCCTGCACTGAAGCCGAGTAGCAGCAAATGCTACTTGTTGCTCTGAAGCCTCGACAGAAGCTCTGAAAATTGGGCAGAGACTACAGGGTGGAATTTTCCCGGGAGAGCAGGGAAAAGATGGCGGCGTAGAAGATCAAGAGCTCACTGGGATTATGGACACATGCAGAAACACCGCAAAGGAGAGTTCGATTCTATTAAACTCGACAACGTGAGATATAGCTTCCAGCTTAGAACCACTGACTAACTACTATCATTGACATTAAGAAACTTATTACAGAACATGGCTAAAAAACTTTAAAGACAACACTGGTTTCATATCCTAGGCAATTGTATAAATAAATAGATAAAACACTATGGTTAAGGATAGGATGACTACTGATATATGCTCCAAAAAAAATGCTTTGGAACTAAGAAGAAACCATTGAAGAGTAACTTTGCTAAGGACTGGGGGGTGTAGCTCAGTGGTAAAGTGTTGTCTAGCATGAGCAAGGCCTTAGGTTGGATGCCTGTCACTGCCAAATGGTAAAAAATAAAAATAAAAGAGTAACTTTGCTCTAGTAATCTGTGGCCAACATAAAATGAGGAAGAAATGACACATAAATGAGATGAAAGATGTGTATGTCACATAAAATCTTATGAAAGAGGAAAAACTACATAGTAGTGGTGATTTTATAAATCCTAGTGTGTTGCTGAGCACATTAGTTTTAGTAAAACCCTACCCACAAACCACTTCCTTGAATCTACTCTCAGAGATCTATGGTTCTGAGGTTTAAAGGCAGCCTGGGCTGTATTTGGGGAACACTATCTCAGAGACAGCCCCTGTCAGTCCCTGGGAGAGTGTGTGGATGGATACTCACCCAGTTCTTCCTCTTCTTTTTCTTTGAGTCACTCTCTATGTTGCTGCCCACACTGGAATGGCTGGTGGCGCTGTTGATGCTGGAGACACTGTCGGAGGAGTGCTGCCTTCGGATGCGGAGGTCTGTAGATTGGGTGGTGCCATTTCCTGGAGAGCAAGGCAGGACATGTCAGGGCCTGCTGACTGGAACCCAATCCTGTGTCCTGGAAAATGGCTCTTGTACTGAGATCCACATCCGTGAGGACTCCTAGGCATTTTCCACTGAAACAACACCTCTATTTCTCACCGCTGGTTTCAAAATCTTTGAGTAGCTGACTGCTATGCTCTCTTTGGTCAGTTAAATGGAGTGTGCTTTTGCAACTTTACAAAACTGAAGTCAAAACAAGGCTCAGGAAGAGTTCCCCAATACTGGTTCTCCTAGGCTATAGATAGGCAGGAATACTTATTTCTCTCTCTTTTTTGGGGGGGCAGTACTGGAGTTTGAACTTACGGGTTCACACTTGCTAGATAGGCAAGTGTTTGCTTACTGTTTGAGCTATGCCTCCAGCCCTTTCTATTCTGATTACTTCAGAGATAGGATCTTGCTCTTTGCCCAGGCCAGCCTGGACTGCGATCCTATCATTTTTATACTTCAGGTCATAGCAGGATTGACAGGTATGGACCACCACACCTAGCTTTTTTCTGTTCAGAAAATCTCGTGAACTTTTTTGCCTACTCTGGCCTGGAACTGCAATCCTCCTGATCTCAATCTCCCACATAGCTGGGATGACAGGTATGTGCTACTGTGTCCAGCTATTATTAGAGATGGGATATCATGAACTTGTTGCCCCAGCTGGCCTCAAACTGAGATGCTCTGGATATCAGCCTCCCAAGTAGCTAGGATTATAGGTATAAGCCACCAGCAACCAGCTAGAAAATGTATTTCTGAATTGTAGATATACATTTGCTCCTTCCTTTTATTTTTCTGTTTTAAAGAATTGTTTTAGTAGTACTGGGGTTGGAATCCAGGCCAGATGCTCTACCACTGAGCTGCACTCCCAGGCCTGCCCCTTTGCTTTCTCTGCTCCTATATACTTGCTCCCTTCCAGCCCTTTGGAAATGCCAAGACCATCTCATCTAAAGCACATGTTCTGCCCTCTGCCCACAATTCTCTTTTCCCTCTATTCTTGTCTGGCCAACTCTTTCTAATTCTTCCCTTTTCAACTCTATCATTGCTTTATTTAGGAGACCCAATATCCGAAATAAGAGAAAGTAACAGAGATCCCTGAAATAATGCTTGCGGCTTGTTTTCCTCCTGAGGACAGAACTATACCCAAATCCTGAATGAAGAGCACACTGGCCTTACAGACTTGGGTTCCAGTTCTACTTCCACTCTGACAACTCTCTGACCTCAGCAAACCACTGTCATCTCTGAAACTCAGAGCTCTCATCAGTACAATGAAGAAAAGATTAGCAGGACATTCATAAGGGTGTTGTGGAAAGACAAACACCTAATTAATGAAAACACTTGGCATGGTGCTCAGAACACAGGCTAAGTGTTCCATGAATGCTAACTGCCAATACTGTATCATTATTGTTATACTGTTATTGTAGAAGATAACTCACCTGCACGTCCGCATCTTTTTATTTTTTTAATTACCCGACTAAGATACACAAAAACAAAACTATTCAGGACAGTTTTCCCAAACAAAGTAGAGATGAAGCCATTTTAGTTCATTTCAGTATATAAATACGGAAGCATGAGTGAAATTAAGGGCTACAAAACACTTTGACACTCAGTCAAGAGAAATTATTTTCTTCCATTTTTGAAATTTATCAGAAGAGGATGAGCCACAGTACCCAATTCTATGGAGATCAGAAGTAATCAGAGGAAAGGTGTCTGCCTTCTGGGACCTTCCTGACAAAGAGCTGGTTTCCAAGCCATCCACCTTCCAGCAGGGCCCTTGCATCATGTGCCATCAGGGGAGGCTGGAAAGGGCAGCAGGTCGTTTGTCTAAAGGGTGTTTCCTACTTTACCTTTGCAGTTGAGCTCTGGAGTGTTAATTACTCCATTAATGGCAGCCTGAGCAGCTGCATTCTGTTTCTTTAGCAGCTCGATGGTTTTTCTTAACTCATTCAGTTCTGAATCCTGAGGATGAGAAAGACACATTGGTCATTCTAAAACCAGCTCACAGGAAGTAACACTTGGCTTCAGTGGGGAGCAGGGAAGAAGGAGCTCAACAAATTCCTTGTCTCCTATATGACATGGATCCATTTTCAGCAGGGATAAAGGAACACATAAAAGGGGTGTAATGAGACCTGTTGTTGATGTTAGTACCATCACCCAATCTAAGTCACATTGTTACTCAACATAGCTATTCTCAACATCTAAATTCTACTACTTTAAGAACCATGTTAAGAACTATATAATTATCTAAAATAAAAGAATAGTATTTTTAGATTTGTTTTTGACCTCCAGTGGGGAGCCAAAACATCCTTTCTGCCTTACCTTCTGCTCAGCAGTCATGGTCAAACTCTGGAGCCTGATGGTCATGTTTCCAAGACTCTGTTCAAAAGCCGCGACAAGGTGAGCCTGGAGGGGGAAGTCACAGCCACAGTTATGTTACCAAGCAAGGCAAGAGTGCCTAAGAAGTGTTGGGTCTTCAAGATGGAAATCCTTACCAGGGCCCCTTGATCTGGTCTCTGCTCATGTCTGCAGCCTCCTCCTGTATCCCACCCCCCTCTACTCTTTGGGACCATTTTCTCCAGCCTCTCACTTGCTCCAACACCCTGTGCTCCTGCCCACCTCAGGCCAATGTACATCCTTGCCCTCCACCAGGAACACTGTCCCCCACCCGTTCTTTGCCTAACTAATTTTTACACATCTGTTTCAAGAGCTCTCAGCTCAAGCCTTTGTGGCACCTCCACACTGGGCTGGTTCCCTCATATGCACTCCCACAATTCACTGTCCTCCCAACATATACTTTGTGAGATTGTAGTGGAAAACATGTGTGCTGTGATTGCTGGCTTCATGTCTTTTTACATACTGCAGGCTACTTCTGTCTGTTGTACACCAACCCATAGCAGAGGTTCACAGGAAGAATGTTTATAGAATGAACAAAGAGGTTAGCATACTTTGCTTGTTATAATCCTGGTTAATAAAAAGCCATTGAAAGGCTAATCAGCTACCTCCTTAGAGAAATTCTTCCCAGTTCCTCAAGGGAGACAGCACTTTCTCACAGGCTCCCATGTACTTTTATATACTTCTGTTTGAACATGACATCAGATGCACCATGATTTTACACATTATAGGAAAAATTTTTCAAGTATGAGCAATTATAATTAAAATATGCAACCAATTTCCAGACAGGTTACAATGTGAAAACAAATGGATATCTTACAATTAAGAAATATAGTCTTTTCCTGATGGCACCTTTCTTTGCAACTTCCCTATTCAAGGGTTAGTCATAATTTTATGTCCCAACACTAAGCCTGGCACACAGATTACTAGTAGGTGAAATGTTGGTTGACTAAATGAGGATCCTAGTGATCTCATGAAAGCCAAGAATAAAGAATGGATGGTTTTTCAAGTCGTTATGCTAAGGAATGCCTAACTTTCAAACTCTATTTGTAGAATGGAATAGTAGCAGGTCCTGTAGTTAAGAGGTATTCGGGCAACAGGCAAGATGGATGATCAAATTGTACACTTGATGGGGACTGACACCATGTCTATCTTGCTGACCTGTGTCCTCAAAACTGCTGGGACAAAGCTGCCATTTGATCAGTGTGTCAGGAAGGCAAATAAGAAAGAGAGAGAGAGAGAGGAAAAAAAAAGAGAGAAAGAGAGAGAGAGGGAGAAAGAAAGAAGAGCACTTAGATGAAAGGGGAATTGTGACACAGAAGAAGAGGACAGGAGCTAGAGGTCTTTATGTTAACTCCTCATTCCTTTTGATTATTCCTAAATGCTGAGCATGTCAAACAGTCCTACTGACCTCAGTTTTCTCATTTAAAAAAGGAGAGTAACTTCTACTTCCTTCCCAGGTTTATTCTGAGCATTAAATGAAAGAAGACAGGTTAAAGTGGCCTACAAACTGTTAAGGAATTATAAAATACAGGAGTGGGTAAACACTGTTGGGAAGGATCAGCAGAGGATAAGTGGGAAGGAAGAATGTGGGAAGAAGTGAGATTTGATCTTGCTGTAAAATTCCAGAGGAAAAGATGACTTTGTACACAGTAAAAAGGTGGGGTAATTGCAGGGCCAGGCAGGGCTGTGAGGAGGGTCAGTGGCATTTCAATCTAAGGAGGGATCTGAGGAGGAAGAGAAAGGAAGCAGGAATGGTGATGGTTAAGATATGACACTAGGATGGAGTTTAGGCAGGGAGCAAGGCCACCTGTAACAGAAAGGTTACACAGAATAGTTTCTTTCTGATTGTACTCTCTAATAAAAATGTAGGAAATGTTTCTATACTTATAAATAAAGAAACATACTTTCGTTTGCCCTGGAAAGCAAAGTCAAACAACTCAAGACGATTGCACAGTGGACAGAAGAAATAGGTCAGGACATGGATGTCTAAAAGAACAGATATCTGCCACCCTTGCACTGCAGAGGATCAAGTTGAAATGACTGAATTCCCATTTATTTCTATCTGCATTTGATTGCTACCCGTAATTCTAGTTGTGAGCATTCAGATTTTCTAAAAACTGCTCCTTAGTTAAAGCTCGGAAAGAAGCAGCCTCAGCTCCGAAGAGCCAGAGGATCTTATTTTGCTGGCAAGTGAAAGGGCTGCCTTTGTGTCCTAAGCACAACTATGAAAATACGGCTAAGAGGCCTCACTGAGCCTGGTTCTGAGCCACACAACAGCCTTCTCATCAAGCTCCACTCTCACATTCCCAGAGAAAACAAACACGAGTAGTATTAAAAACACCCAGAGAGGGTGGATTTGAGAAGTTTGTCCTAGAAAAACAAACACAGCTTGGTCTATGAGAAAGATGGCAGACAATAAAACACGTTAACACTGCCGGTGGTGTGTGGTAAGACTAAATATTTACTTTAAAACAATATTGGATTCAATGGCTTTTATGAGGAGCAGCAACACACTCTTTTGGAATAATATAACGGATCTCACTCTAACACTTTTGGAACAGGTAGGTAGAGCTCCAAATGGCCCAAAGGAAGTCTTAACATGGGGTCACTGGGGGAATTAGCCCAAGTTCACCGATGAATAAATTAATTACTACTTGTTGATTAGTACAGGACAACAAATGACAGCAGCCATTCTTCTTGGCAGAACTGAGGTTTGAACTCAGGGACTCATGCTTGTTAGGCAGGCACTCTACCACTTGAGCCACTCAGCCAGTTACTTGTGATAGGTTTTTTGTGATCCGGTCTCTTGAACTATTTGCCTGAGGGTGGCTTCAAACTGCAATCCTCCTGATCTCTGCCTCCTGCGTAGCTAGGATTACAGACTTAAGCCTCTAGCACCCATCATTCGCCATTCTGAACTAGGAGCATAGTTCATAATTCCTTGGGAGGGGTTTTCTGTCCAACTTCACATGTTAAGATTACACCCAGGAGATCCTGGCTCACTAGATCTGGAGTTGGTTCTGGATTCAAATGCACATATTAGGCTCTCCAGATGAAGACTCTACCCACAGGATACTTCTGCTATGTTTTGAAAAGGAACTAAGCCTCAGACTGCAGTTTTCATATCAATGATGGTAGAAGAGGTAAAGAAAATGAAGGATGATAAGTTTTGGGGGAAAAAAATTCAAAGACTTCCAAAAATGTAAGAGAACACAGGAGAGTGAATAATCATGAGAGTAGGTACCAGATGTTGAGCTCATAATTAAGGCCAAGCACAGACTTTAAAGAGAAATGGCTTCCTGGAGCTGACTCAGGCTCAAGCTGGGAATTACCAAGGCAAAGACTCCAGGTAAATGATTGCTCTGGAATATTGACTCAATGTCCTCGTCAAAGGAAGACAATCTTTTGAAGTGGCTTTGTATTTTAACAGTGTGCTCTGGGGTCACCCAAGGTGCTTTCTGGCAGGTTTGAACACATTGATCTGTAGATTCATGCTGAATTGTGACTCCTGGGCAGGAAGCCTAGCCTCAGAGGAATCTTGGCTCTACCTTCTGAGTTTTAGCCTCACCAGGTCATGGCTCTCCAGTAGAACTCCTGAAAAGACTGTGCTGATGTTGTGGGAGACCCCTGCCTCTCTTCAAACTCTTCTGACTCTCTATCCACACAATCAGTAAGCTTTTAAAACAGCAAGCCAAACCACCCACAGTTGGCTTAGAACTCACTGATAGAAGTTGAGTACTAAGTCCCAGCCTAATAGGTCAGACACTCTGTGATCTATTGTCTTTCTTCCTCCCTACTTCCTGTCTCTTCTCCATCCCTGCCTCCATCCTTCCTCCAAACCTCAGAATCTGATTGTACCAGGCTTCTTACAGCTCCAAATGCACCAAGAACTATACCAAGGCCTTGGCACTAATTATTCTCTTTGTTTAGAATGCTGTCCTCCCTGTGCACCCTTCTCCTACATGAAATCCATCAAATGTGGCCTCCTCTAGGGGAAGTCCTTCCTGACTCCAACCTACCCCCAATCAAGCTGGCTCTCCTATATATTCCCACAATCTGTTCCCCTTATCTCTATCATAACATGTGCCATGCTGTAGGGAAACTGTTTGTTTTGTCTCTGCTATAACAGAGCCCTAATGCTAAAAAGACAGCAACTATGCTTGCTTAGCTGTTGAACTCACAGTGCCTGGAGCATTGCTGGCACTCAAAACAGTTGTTGAATTGAATGTTGGTTGGCAGTGTCTCCCCAACATGTAATCATGCATACTATAATTACAAAGCAGCTGGACTGTTTATTGTGGAGCCATAAATTTCCGCTCCCCCACCCCACACACATACTTTATTTCCTTTTTTCTCTTTTCCCATAAGACCAAAATTTTCAGAAAGGGGAAGGGAAATTAACATTTTAATAAGCACTTAATATTTTGCAAGCATTGGTTATAAGACAACACAAAGAGGCAAGAGTGATCACCCCCAAGACACAGAGGAACAAAGTCAGGCTCAGATGATAAAGAACTTGCCCAGAGTCACAGCCAGTGTCAGAGCTGACATTTCTATCCATGATGCTAATGCCAGAGTCCTTTTTATTATGTAGTGCTACTTCAACAGTGTTCAGAGACCGGGGGCCTTGAGGCAATGCCAGAAGGCAGGCCTGGTTTTTGAGCCCATCCTAGTGGCTCCCACCTGTGACTCTGTGTCTATACTTACATTTGCTGTTAGCTGGGTGGTCAATGCTGAAACCTTCTCCTGAGAGGCATCCAGTTCCCGCCGCAGTTTTCGAATCTGAAGGTAACAAGCACAGGTACCTGCTTTGGAGTCCGTTTCCAGACTAAGCAGAGAGAAATCACTGATAATAGTGAAAAAGGAGATCCAACCAGCAAACCGTTCCTTACCTCTGATTGACATTTTTCTTCTGGCTGTAAATAAACCAGAAGGGAAATTAGACCAGTTAAGGAACAAAGAACAATGCAGTACAGCCAATGAAGAACATCAAATTTGAAAACTTAGAAACGTCTGGAAGATTGATTAGTTTCTTTTCTGGTATATTTCTCTGGATAACCTGATTTAATTACATTGACCCATCAGAAAGGACAGATAATAATAGCCTATTATTTTAACAAAATCAGGAAGAATTAGAATGATATTCCAACTGTTCTGGTTGTGAGAAGCCACCCTGCCTTCATGTGGAGATGTGAGAAGGTAAAGCACTCAGGAGAAGGTATGTGATGGGAAGGACTTGAGCTAGAGTCAGCACAGGGAAGTTTAAGTAGTTTTTTAAAGTCTAGGCATGTCCCATGTAATATTGGGGACATACTTTTTTTTTTTTCTCCTCCAGTGCTGGAGATGGAACTCAGGAACTCACACAAGAATCCAATGTTAGAGAAGAGATCTAATACCAAGCTATTACCTGCAGGCTCTGGGGACAGGCTTATACTAAAAATTATTTGTTGTGTGTCTAAACTTCAAACTTCATGGGATATTCTATATTTTATCTGGAAGCTATCTAGAGGCTAGGATTGCACCTAGGTTAGTTCTGCCCCATTTTATGCCTCCCTCTCACCTCCCTATGGCACTACAACAGGAGGAGAGTGGAGCAGAAAGCCCTCAAAGTGAGAGGGCCAGGAGCCCCGAATCAGCCAGCCTGATAACTCCACAGGTTGTGAGAGTAAATGTGGCTTCATTTCCCTGCTGGGCCCTTACAAGCATTTACTAGATGTCTGCCATGTGCCAAAGACTGTTCTAAGCATTTGTCATTCATTCTTCATTTAATCGTCACAACAACCCTTTGAATAGATAGATAACAGCACTGCTTTACATGAGGAAACTGAGGCACAGAATGCATAGTCATGACTGGTAAGAGGTAGAGCTGTATGATCCAAGGCAGTCTGGCCCCAGAGCAAATGGCTGTAACCAGCACATTCTCTTATTCTTTCACTACAGCTACATTCTCATGGAAGCTTTTCAGGACCAAGTCAGTCCTCTGACCTCCAAGTCTGATTCACAGGAAAAGATGGTGAGAATGTCACAGCTCTGTAACATTTTGGAGGTGGATGAAGCCTGTCAGCAAGCTGAACCATCCACATAGGACCAGTCCTACTTTTAAAACACCTCTGTTGATAGGCCTTAACAGTCTTGGCCACTGTCTGCCTGCAAGATAGACAGAGACCAAATCCCACACAGGGATCCCACTGTACAGAAGAGCATTAGTAGCTGTGACACCAAGTACATGACTTCTCAGGCTGGTCCCCAGGGAACTTAACTACCACTCTTTTGCTCTCTCCCAGCCAAGAAAGCAAGCCTGATGGCAGGGGTAGGCTGTAAGATTTTTTTCCAAGGTAAGAACTGGCCATGACTGGTTCCTGGCAATTATTTTGCATCATAGTGCCTTTTATTTGTAATTCGAATTACAGGCAAATTTCAGGCAGAATGAGCATTCTATAATATTTAAGAATTCTAGAGATTTCAAGGAAAGCACCCGTTGTCTTCTAAGCAGACCCTAAAAGACCTTCAGTATTAAACAGGCTCCTCAGTCTGAGCCTATGGCAACTTAAGCGACTCCAAAGATCTCTTAGACAACAAACAAGAATTTGCTCACTTTAACATTTACAAAGGTGGCTGAGCAGTGTTTCTGTGTATCATCACCAAGAAGCTAATAACAGATAAAGGACCACACATCATAGGTGGTAGCACAGCTTAGCAGACTCAGTTTTACCTGAAACGGTAGACTATCTGGCATGAAAACATTCAAATGTTAGGCTATGTTTTTGCAAAAGAAACTTCTATTCTCTTCACTCCTTTTTGCAGTAGTAAGGTTTGAACTTGAGCCAACTTGAACCTGTAGTCTCAAGTAAGGTACATATCAGGATGGTAAAGACCTTTGACAGTGATTCATGAAAGGTCAGAGATTATAGGGACCTCATAACATCCCCTTGTTCACCCCTCTCCCTGAAGCTGAAGGCAACACTGAAAGAAGTGCTGAATGCCAAGGTGATTTGTCCAAGGTCAAGGTAAGAACAATGTGAGATTAGACATTGAGTCTCTTGTTATCCAAATAAACTTGGAATTCAAAATTATTATTTAGTAATTTGTTAATACAATTCAGAAAGGACAATTTCAAATTTCATGAACACATTGTCTTGATGAAACACATAAAGAACAGCAGTTACTGGAAGTGAGACAACTTCTAGCAGTTGGCATGAAACAGGTGCCCCTGGAATTACACGGGATGGTTTCCTAGATCTGACTACTCACAGTCAGGAAAGTTCATGCTCTTTTCCTCACTATATCAACTAGCCTTGCATGTTCCATTTTTCTGAGAAGGGCCCACCCCCTCCAGTACTGACAGCAGCCCCTGGGAAACATGGGCACTACAAGATCTGTTATGCTGCTGGGCACCAGCCCCGTGATGCCAGAGGCCCCTGGGTGCCCTCTGGTGCCTCCGGCTTCCTCTTTCGACAGTAGGCTCCTTTCTTTCCAAACCTACTTCCTCAGAGTCTGGTCCAGAGCCTGGCAGACACTTAGGTTTGAAAATACCATTTTTGGTACCCAATATTTTATTCTAGAAGAAAGAGCTTAGTTTACCTACTAAGAGTTGGAAGACTGTCTCTATGCTTTCTTAGTAAATAATGGCCTAAATATTGCATATAAAACTTGTGTAAGAGTAAAACAGGACACAGTAATGAAATTTCAGAGATGATGATCAGCTAAAGAGAGAAGAATTTTGGAGCTGGAGGGGTGATGTGGTAGGAACAGAAGCAAGGTTTCTAGGTCCTTCAGACCACACTATGAGCAATCATTGGAGCTTGTTTGCTCACTCAGGCCTTGGCGTTTCTACCTTGACTGCATTTTCCAAGTGCTATACAGTTTATCCTGATACACAGCCCAGAAACCTGGCATTATGAAGTCCTGAATTTTTTTTTCTTTTTTTTTTTTTCATTTTTCTTTTATTATTCATATGTGCATACAAGGCTTGGTTTATTTCTCCCCCCTGCCCCCACCCCTTCCCTTACCACCCTCCCCCTCCCGCTCCCCCCCAATACCCAGCAGAAACTATTTTGCCCTTATCTCTAATTTTGTTGTAGAGAGAGTATAAGCAATAATAGGAAGGAACAAGGGGTTTTGCTGGTTGAGATAAGGATAGCTATACAGGCATTGACTCACATTGATTTCCTGTGCGTGGTGTTACCTTCTAGGTTAATTCTTTTTGATCTCACCTTTTCTCTAGTACCTGGTCCCCTTTTCCTATTGGCTCAGTTGCTTTAAGGTATCTGCTTTAGTTTCTCTGCATTAAGGCAACAAATGCTAGCTAGTTTTAGGTGTCTTACCTATCCTCACCTCCCTTTGTGCTCTCGCTTTTATCATGTGCTCATAGTCCAATCCCATTGTTGTGTTTGCCCTTGATCTAATGTCCACATATGAGGGAGAACATACGATTTTTGGTTTTTGAGCCAGGCTAACCTCACTCAGAATGATGTTCTCCAATTCCATCCATTTACCAGCGAATGATAACATTTTGTTCTTCTTCATGGCTGCATAAAATTCCATTGTGTATAGATACCACATTTTCTTAATCCATTCGTCAGTGCTGGCATCTTGGCTGTTTCCATAACTTGGCTATTGTGAATAGTGCCGCAATAAACATGGATGTGCAGGTGCCTCTGGAGTAACAGTCTTTTGGGTATATCCCCAAGAGTGGTATTGCTGGATCAAATGGTAGATCGATGTCCAGCTTTTTAAGTAGCCTCCAAATTTTTTTCCAGAGTGGTTGTACTAGTCTACATTCCCACCAACAGTGTAAGAGGGTTCCTTTTTCCCCGCATCCTCGCCAACACCTGTTGTTGGTGGTGTTGCTGATGATGGCTTTTCTAACAGGGGTGAGGTGGAATCTTAGTGTGGTTTTAATTTGCATTTCCTTTATTGCTAGAGATGGTGAGCATTTTTTCATGTGTTTTCTGGCCATCTGAATTTTGAAGTCCTGAATTATTAAATGTATTTCCATGGAATTAAAAGCTAAAGAATTAACAAAGGGATTTTTTATTCTTGTAGGAACTTTCAAATTATTATTTTTAAGATAATATATAGATATAAAAAGTATACTGAACAAATCCAGTAGTACTGAAAATCCAAATGTATTTAGTTACATTTGGCTCTTGTTCAGTAGACCCCTCAATGATGAAAGCTAGCACTCAGGAGTACTTACTCTGACCTGTGTGTACTGCTTATTGCTTTACACACATTTTCTTATTTCTTTCAACTTTAGTTTTTTTGTTTTGGTGGGACTGGGGTCTGAACGCAGGGCTTTGTGCTTGCAAAGCAGCTGCTCTACAGTTTGAGACACACCTCCAGTTCATTTTCTCTCATTATTTTGGGGATGGGATCTCACTAAATATTTACCCAGGCCGGCCTCAATCCGGAGATCCTCCTGATCTCAGTCTCCCAAGTGGCTAGGAATAAAGGCAAGAGCCAGCCTCAACCCTATTTTTTGAACCTCTATTATGTGCTAGGCACTACCCTAGGCACTAGGAACAAAAAAAAAAGTCCTTGGCCTTTGGGAATTTATATTGTAGTGAAATGAAATCTTCAGGATATTCAATCCTCACAACAACTCTATAAAGTAAGAATTGCTATTCTTTCTACTTTACAGATAAAGAAACTGAGGCAGACAGCAGTTAAACTACTCAAGGCCTTTCTTTTTCAAGTCTACTGGCAGGTGGCCAAGGCTTCTAGCACATTCTAACTAGTTCCCACTCAAAACCACAATGCAACTTTAACAAAACTGCCAGTTCCTGATTTATTGTGTGTTATAATTAATAGCTATTTGTGAACTTTAAGTCTTGTCCCTAATTAATCGATCCCCTTATAATAGAAATGTTCTCTCCAGGAGAACAGCTTATATTTTATTCTTGACACATTTGATAAAGGAACCCAAGCTGTCATGATCATAGGCAGCATTGATTTATACTCACTGTAGAATAAATGGATGATGTACTGGAAACCAAGGAGAGGGAGGATCCGTGAACTATTAAAAAAAAAAAAAATAGGTGATTTGCACAGCTGCCTCCTGCTATGAAGCCAAAAAAAAAGGGACAGGGGAGAAGGAAGCCAGTTTTAGGACACGGTCAGGCTCGGATGGCTCACTCTAACCTTGACTCAACATTGTTGACTCCTGGGTTAATAACAGGCTAGCACCAAAAATGAATAATTTGCTAAGGAAGTCAATTTACTAGAAACACGTTCTTTTTTCCTATAGTTTTCTAAATACATTTTTCTTTACTATCAAAATAATATGAGTACAGAATAGAAATGACTGAGTAGAAAGGAATGCTAAGAAACATTAATGCCATAACCCATAATGACTCATAATTCCACCACCCAGAGGCAACCTGTTACTGTCCCAACATATTTTACCCCACTCTTTTTCTTCATATATTCCTTTAGGGTTGCGATTGTGTTGCATTTATATATTTCATACCCTGCTAGCATCTGTCACTTGTATACGCAAAAAACATGAGCTGATTATTTTGAACCTAAGAGGCTGTTGACCATAATAAACTCATTGTAAATGACCATATATTAGTTTTAAAAAGATATGCACTGAAATATAAATTCATTGGTTTCTATCATGTCTACAAAGTGACAAGCAGTGTCTACTTTCCTGTTTTTGGAATAGAACTTTTGACTTAGACCCACACTCATGTACCTTATAGCACTCTTTCCTGTCTCCAGCCACTGGAGACACTTTGTTATTTGTTATAATGGTCTCTTCAAGGACTGGTATTCTGGTTGCTTTCTCTTTTAGGAAACCAGGTTCCTTTTCTCTCAGCAACCTTTTGGCAACTTGTTTGAAAGATGGAACTATTCCTATGTTAAGACTTTGCAGGACTTCTGACTGGGCACAGCTTTCCTGACCACAGGAGGGATGCCTCTATCCCACGCATGCCAACTGTGTGGGATCATAACCTGCTTAGCTGGGGAGTGACTTTCCACATGCACTAAACGGTATTCACCTACCACCCAAGGAGTAAAAACCTCAACTTGGCTCAGCAGTTAGCAGAAGCGACCTGCCAGCAAGATATCTGATGAACAGCTCCGCCTAACACTTGGGTGCTCATCTGTGGTCTTTCCAGTAACCCTTGCCCAACCTCCCTTTCTTTTTTCGTATGTTGCTATCGTACCACAAATCCCGCCCTGACTCCCACTCATGCCCTAGATCATACTTTCCCACCTCAGAGTCTTTGCCTGTGTGGTGTTCATTGTTTAGGATGCTTCTAAGTATCGCCTATCCAAATCAGAAGCAGCTCAAGTGGCTTTTTGCATGGAGCCTTTCCTCTTTTCTCTGACTGCCACCACCAAGGGCTTCCCTCATCCCCTACCCATGTAACTCTGGGATTGCCATTTCAGCCTCTTCTCACTTATCAGGTGCCACCTCCTCTGAGGCTTCCCTACACTATCACTTGCATGTACTCTCCTTAGCCATGCCAGGTTCTAGATCTTATCCTCCATCTGTGACTAATCTGACTCATGTCTCATAAAAATCAGCTTAAGGTGTTAATGGTCAATAATGCTTTCAGTGTTAATATGTTCACACACTCACAGAGGCCTTTAAAGCCCCAACCTAGCAGCCCAATGTTCCAAAGGGATAAGTTACTTCAGCTCCCACAGACTATTATAGAGAGAGAATATCAGAGGCCAAGTTGAGTGAGGAGATGTGGGTTGTGGGTAACACAGAGTCACACTTGCTTGTCAGCCCTGCCAGAGGTCAGCTCCAGAGAACCACTTAGGGCTGCGGTATGGCCTTTGGCTGCTGGGAACAGTAAGTATTTTGCCTTCCATTCCTCCATTTCATAAACATAAACTTTTTGACAGTTTCAGTTGCAACTCAATGCAAGCTTGGGGCCAAAGACAGAGGAGCACATCTGGCAGGCTTAAAGTACAGGTCATTATTTTTCTCTGTAAATAATTCCTCTAACTTGGTAAACAGCCACAGTAAGGCTCTGGACTAAAAAACTGCTTCCTTGATTTACAGAATCAAAATGAACCTGAATGTGGCTTGCCTGGACCACTGCAGTAGGTCCTCCTTCAAATGAACGAGTCAAGTCAGATCCTGGGCTATGAAGTGTGGATAATTTTGAACAATAAAATGCTTTTGAGAGCTCAGGACCAAACAGTTAAAGCATGCTGTGTGGTTTTCCTCTCTATGCACATACCTCCAAGATTCTATAGCTACAAAGAACTACTGAGGATATTTAGGCCATCTCTGCCATTGTGGAATCTGAAATTCGAGAGGTTAAGTGACATGAACAGAATCTGCTAACCAGGAATCTGGAGACTACTCCACCCTTGAGTGGGTTGGTTTGTTTGTTTTTCAAACCTTTTGGTATGTTTTAGGACAGTTTCCTAATCCCTCTATGTAATCTACACATAGGCAGGAACCAAGATTGATGTTTTCAAAGAAAGATGCTTTAGGTAGGGGTACAACCATTAGATAAAATGGAACACCTGGTCATATTCCAGCTGATAAAGCATGTCTGATGTCACACTTGGGCCTCTCTCACATACATATACTCTCTCTCTCTCTCTCTCTCTCTCTCTCTCTCTCTCTCTCTCTCTCTCTCTCTCACACACACACACACACACACACACACACACAGAGCTTTGTACAAATTAAAGCACTTTCTCAATTATACTGTTATTTGGAGTGATCCTCATTGTCTTAGAAAATTTGCAGGTAATGATCCTAGGCTAAGCAGGAGTTCTACCTTTAATAAATGAATAAATGAAGGCCCAGAGTGGTCAGGTGCTGTGGCCAAGCACACCCAGCTCTCAGGAGTATAAAATACGAATCCCACTGTGGTTCTCATTCCACAGTTGGGTACTGTGGAAGGAGCTGGGGTGAATGATGGCTAATGAACAGGCCTGCCTCTCAACCAGCAAAGGAAGCATAACTTTTTTTGACCTCAGGTCAAAAAATATAAAAGAAGCCCATCTGAACCAGATGTCAAGGTAGGTTTGAGTAGAAAGACAGAGAGGCCTGTGAATCAACAGATTTAGCTTAAGGCCTCATTCTGACTATAAGTCATTTTTGCTTCGATTTTGTCATTTAAAAAAAGGGGGAGGAGGGACTGATAATGGCCCCTGGGGAGAAGAAAATAAGATGACAATTACAACAATAGCTACCATTGATTGAGCACTTATAATAAGCCCCTTTCAAAGTTATTTGCTAAATGCTTTCCAGGATTTACCTCACCTAATCTACACTTCAGTCCCTTGAAGCAGCTACGATTATTTCCCACATTTTAATGAACAGTCCATTAGTCAAAGTCACAACGCTAACCATGGAGGAACCATAGCTGTAACTCTGATGTTAGGACCGCAAGTACTGGAGTACAAGATTTCCTTATTATTAAGCTGCTCTCTGCCTGTGGGATCCACGCAAACTGAGAGAATGGCTTTTTTTCTCCAAAGAAAGACATCCATTTTTAAAAGGCCTCAAGCATCCTTCTGATGTTCATACTGAAGTTCAGTTTAAGGTTGCATCATGCATCCAATGGAAATTAGTTTACTTGGAATAACCTGGAGAAGCTGCATCTAGGTCATGCCTGTACCTAATCTACATATTTATGATTCCCATTCCCTTCAAAATGGAAAGTGCTAACTAAACTGCACAACCTCACACAAATACTTATGCTAATTCTTCCCAAATTTCTATCCTGGTTAATGGTATAAGATACACTTAATTGATTATTATAAGCAGAGTCTATTTGGTCCATTGATTATTATAAGCAGAGTCTATTAAGTGTGAGATGTGAATTGTTCTCCATCTATTTCTGCAACACTGGGATTTTATTATTTCAAAAAGGAAAAAAAGTCTGCATCCAAAAAAAAGAAAAACTCCAATTAGACAAGTTCTATTTTGTTTTGTAATGAACTAGCCTTAGAAGAAATAAAACCAATCTGATACCAAATTCCCAAAAGGATGAAAATGTTACATATTTTCAGTACACTGGCAGTATCTCTATCTCTCCCCCAAAGTTTGGTTTTCTACCTCTGTGCTTCAGTTCCATGTCATCATGAATCATTAGATTTACGAAAGTCTAGACACTGCTTGTGGGGAAGCACTTTCTATCAATGTCAATTTGACATCCCAGATATTCTACAGTGGGGCTGTCTGACAGCTTGATTCCAGATGGAATAAATAAAAGTTATCGGATGATCATACAGTAATGATCCCGAACCTTTATGAGGCAAAGTGTGCTTGTTTGGACAAGTTTCAGTACTAAATGTGGTTCACTCAGGTACACACATGACAGAGAAGATGAATGTAGCACAGGACACACTCCATGTGTAAGTCGTCATCAGGAGGATAGGAAACACTCCAGGGCCATGCTTGGCACATGGTTACAAAAAATTCAAGACACACTGCTTCCTCCCTCAGGACATCCTTCACTATACTGTCCTGAGCAGTGATAGCACTTATTTCTGGTTCTTAAATGTAGCAAAAAAATCCCCCAGTCACTCAGACTCCTCCCCTCTTTAGTCCTCTGTCCCAGCGGTTGCCATATATGGATTTACACTCTCCAGTCTGCTCACTGCTCGTCACTGGATGCAAATGATACATAAATCAGGGGGGAGAGTACCAAGTGGCCAAGAAGATTAATCAGGGAGCAACTGCTTTGTAACTGAATTCTTTTTAAAAATCTTTGTGAGCACACTACACAAAAACAGAAGCTGGTATCCTCTCTCACTTTGATTTGGGTTTTCCTAAATAATCATAAATCTGTTTGTTCTTTCCTGTTGGGAGGGTGGTAGGCATTCTTTCTCACACATAAAGGGCCAGGGAGCATCTTATAGGAAAGCATCTGTGACCTACCCCTACCTTCTGTTTTGTCACTGACAAAGGGGCATAAGTAGAAGTATGAGCCTTAGCCTGGGCTCCAGGCCCCAGAGTCCCCATCTTCTGGCTGGAGACTTTGAGCTGTCAGGAAGCCAATGCTGAAGCTGTGTCTACAGGATATGACACATAATAACATCCTTGTGCTGACATTTATATGTATTATCTCATCTAGTTCTTATCATTCCATGAGATGAATGCTAGTATTACTCTTATTTTATCAATGAGAAAACAGAGAGAGGTGAAGCAACTTGCTTGAGAGCATATACTTGAGGAGGAGAAGCTGGAACTTCAGCTCTCCTCTGAATCCGTATTCTGTTTGTTTGCTTTCTTGTGATCCTGGGGGTCAACCCCAGGGTCTTACACATGCCAGGCAAGCACTCTACCATTGAGCTACATCTCCTACCTGATTCCATGTGCTTAATCACTAGTCACTGAGTACTGCCTCCAGTGTCCTATCAGCCCATTCTTTGGGTGATGGAGTTATTTCCCTCTACAGAATTTAGACTGCTTGCTCCTCTAACTCACATCTCGGGTAAAGGAACGAAGGGAAAGAGAAATTAAATGAGTTATATGGATGGCTGACTAAGCTGCCCACAGAACTTTGCTTCCAAAATTCTGATTAAAATGAACACAACATAAAAAACCCAACCCAGGACATTCACAGTTGGCAGGAAACCAAAGAAAGAAAAGGGCAAAACTGAAAGCAATAAATTTTAAAAACTGGTGCTTGAGAGTCACGGCTGCCTGATCCCAAAGCCCTAAGGTGTGTCAACATAGGGAGATGAGCCCTCAGAAAAGAACTCGGCCAAGAGGGTGAGCCAGTGGCTGGGCCTCAAGGCACAGATTCATGCCAAGAAGCTAGGGCTCAAGCCCAGGAAGAAGCCTAGAGCAATAGGCAGTAGATGCTCAGGGTCACCAATATGTTTTCAGCAGCCTCTTCCCAACAATTCTGAAAGGTTAATTAAGGGTCAGATCTTATTATTCAGAGTTCCCCAGTCACGGCCCAGAGGAAGGACAGTTGAAGGCACTCACAGGAAGGGTCTCAGGTCCACGAAGTTGAACTTAGTACAGAAGACCATCAACCATAGTTCTTCTTAGAACAGAAGACCATAATCTAGGAGACGGCAACTCTCCTTCCTTACCTTCTTCAAATCCATCCCGGAATGAGCCTGATCGACTCATGGTTCTGCTCTTCTCATCCAGAGACATGGAGCTATTCCGGAAGCGGCTGTCGGTGTAGGGATCATACTGCCCATCAGCATTGGACAGGCTGTGAGTCCTCAGCATGGTTGGGTTGGACAAGCTCATCTGAGTGACAGTGGTGGGACTCGCTGGAATGAAAAAGAAGTGGAATCAAATGCTGGAAATTCATGGCTGTGTTTGAATCCCAGATGGGGACAAAAGAGGATTACTTATCGCCAGCCATACGCCTTCCTGCCAACTCCTCTCCCGTGTCTATCTTCTAAAAGGTAGTCACATCAGCATTTGAGTAACACACTTAGAGCTAAAAGTGGGCCAGTTCCAAAGCAAGGGTCTGGGCCTCAGCGTTCCAACTTGGCACGTTCAGACAAGCCAGTGTCACCTTCCAGGCATGAGCTAATTATTCTCTGGGCTCATCTGGAACAATTTTCCCTAAAGCCAAAAGCCCAAAATAGTCCAACCAGGCTTTTGATCAGACAGGAAGCATTTGTGCATGACAAGAACCTCTTGCCACAAAGAGTTATGACTGGGAAAGAACAATATGAACCCAGGTCTTAACTGCCTCAGATGGGGAATGGTTAATGATAGTGTAGAAAGAGCTTTAACACAAAGAGGCACACTAAACTTTGCTAACACTAGCTATCCAATTGAAATTCTGTCCATGTTTCAGAGGTACCCATTTGATCAAAAACGAAGAGTTAAACCTTTCTTGATTATAAGCCACAAAGACTGAATTTATCATTTATAGCATTCAGAAAAGGCTCTGCTGCTGTAAAGACTGAGAAGAGACTGAAAGAGGTTTCTTTATCCCCTCCATCCAGGCTCAGTTCCCATCCTACAACCTTCACATAACCACCGCCAATAATGCCAGCCAGAGCCAAGCTTTCTTCTTGCTAACTGTATGAAATATTTGTGATCTGATTATATTTCGTCCTTACCTGGTTTTCTATAAAGCTTTGGACTGTTCTCTTTCACCCCATCTTACAGGTCTGCATGAGTGTATCTCTCTCTCTAAAAAAGAATCCACTGACATTCCGGCAGGGACTGTGTACAAATTCTTTTCCTTTCCCATTGTGCCAGTCAAAGCATTATGTCAGCAGCAGGCATTTCCAAGAATACTTGTTCAGTCAAAACTTCACTTTTACTTACAGCTTAACAAAGCAACAAAGGTGAACAAGCTCTGAACTCTACTTCTTCAGGGGTCTCAGAAATAGAATGAATGGTTTGCTCTTTGCTCTGATGATTGGTTTGAGTATCAAAAACTTTGCTACTTTCTGTTTCATTTACTGTTCATCTCTTATAATCAACCTACATTGCTGAGGGCTGATCAGATCCTGAGAGGGGTTGTGAACAGAAGGCTATGACTACTTGTCTATTTCAAAACACAAGATAACCTCTGCCCTGTGGGAGTTGATCAACACAGCTCATGACGAGAGGCTACTCACCAAGCTGGGAAAAGTTGAACCTTGTTCCAGAGGGAGAAGTTACACTGGAGCCAGAGGAAAAAGGAGAGTTGGCAGCGGTGTCCTGGAGGCCTCCAGCAGAGTGGGAGCGTAACCATTCTTTTGCGTCTTCCTGCGTGCGAAGCTGGGAGGTGGGGGTATACCTGGAGACAGAAATCAGGCTGCAATGAACTATAAACAATGCTTTGGAAAATGAACTCCCTGGAGCTGATGATAAATGTATAAAAAGAAAAAATATATATAAAGATGGTTTGAAAAAAAAAAAAAAAAACCCTCAGCTCACTACACACCCTGAAACTTACAAGGTTTCTCAAATTTGGCTGTGTTTGGGGAAAATTGTAATTCCTTTCAGTTTGCAGGACTAAAGGGAGGAAGACTGGTAAATGCTCAAAAGAGCCGTCACTGGGCGTAACTATAACATGTTGATTCATGACAGTATCGTATCAAAGCCCCCACCTTGACAGGACTGAAGCAACAAAAAGAGCTGCTGTTAGAGCTTCGAAGAAGTTTTAATTAGGTAACTCCTGGCATCTGCACTCTATAGCACAAGTAAGTGGCCATGAATCACAGCGTGTCAGAGATCGGATGAGTGGAGGGAGGGTAGAGGACACTGAAGCTCACAGTAGTTACTGCAACCTGGCATAAGCAAGTCTTCATAAAAGGAGCCCCAAATCACTGGTTTTGCATGACAGGGTCTTTGGCAGTCATGTGGCCCAGCCCCTCATGAAACATATTTGAAAATGATTTATTGAATATCTACAATGCACCAGGCACCTCTATGGGCATTGTATCACTGAAGCCTCAGACCTACTAAGCAATGCAGGTGCAATTATTCCTATTTCACATTTTGGGAAGTAAAGACCCCGCCCTGCATCACAGAGCTGAGATTTCGATTCATGTCTACCTATTTCCAAACTTTATGCTCCTTTCATTATGTCACAGGCAGTATGTGGAATTTCTAGTGCCCAGTGACCACCCTTGGACTTACATGCTATGGAGTGACTGCTGATCATGTGGTCAGGTAACTGAAGGGCTTGCTTTGGCTTTGTTAGAGTGTTGTTATGAGATATGGGTGTGTGGAGGAAGCGAGCTAGACAGAGAGCCACAGTGATAGGAATGTAGAAATACTTTCACTATCGTTGACGGACACGTACCTTTCTAGGGCATGCTTTAAGTCACCACTGACTAGGCAACTAGGGCACATCAACTGCCAGAAATCCCTGTCCCCTATCCTCATTCTGAATTTTTTAAAAACCAATTTCTAAAAGCTAGAGTTAAATAATTTTGATAGGAAAGATCTGCTATGGGAATATACACACCATTTAAGAATGTTAGTTAATTATAAGTCATTTTCCTTTTGGGGTAAAAATGGGGTATCAATGTCAAACTTGTAGTAAGAGTGGCCATCATTTAAGAATCCAGCATGGTTGCTGACAAGCCGCCCTTATAGGCATGATGCAAATTCCTTAAGTACAAAAGGTCTTGCCAACTAGAAGGCTGCAGTGCTGAACTCCTTCTCACAGGATGTCTGCTGGGAGGTTTTTAACACTTAATTATTAGAATTGGCTTTACTCAGAGCTCCTATCAAAAGGAAGCATTCATACCTACCTCACGTAACTGTTCAAAATGCTCTCAGTCTTAAGAGCTGTAGGTTATTAACTACAGACATACATGACAGCAATGAAACATTTCATTCCAAGTTCCATTTTATGCGAAAGCACTTATGCATAGCGCAGGGTGAAGCCGATGCCACAAAGAACAGGTGTTTAGAAAGCAGAAATGACAGTAAGACCATGGGGGAGCACTAGCAAAGTTGAGGTTCCTCTGGTTGGCAAAGTGATGTAGACAACGTGCGCAATGGTGACTTATAGCATCCTGTTTTACCAAGATGAGCACCAAAAACAAGCACAAGCCATGACTTACTACGAATGGAGGGAAGGACACTCTTGGTTGCCTTCTGATTTTTACCAAAAATTGATTGTACCCATGTCTTGGTAGGCATCGAAAACTGACCCAATTGTTGATTAAAGTATTGAGGCAAGTTTGAGGTATCTGTCTTTAGCAAGTTTTTATAAGCCAAGAATTCTATTTATTTTTGCAGTGCTGGTGATTGAACCCATGGCCTCGTGCGCATTAGGCAAATGGTCTACCATTGGGCTATATTCCCAGACCTGATAAACTGAAATATTTTTAAATTTGAGGGAATATTCCTCTCCTTGCCTTAGCCTTTGTCCTAGCTAACAAACCAGCATGCTATAAGTCGTGCTCCTCCTGTTGGAAACAGCCATGTGAACAGAATGGCCACAAGGTACTCAGTGATTAAACCCACTGGCCCCCGCCAGAAGCAGTGACTGCTTTTTGGCCTTGCCCGGGTGTTTGTCATGAGATGAATTTATCACATTAAGCCTGAAAAAGCACAGCCCCCCCACTCAAGCAAGTGAGCCACAAATGGAGAGAAGAGGAGACGAAGAGAGGGGCCAGAGGAGCCATCATCCAAAAGTCCTGCTGCAGTGGCCAAAGCATGGACCCCAGTTCAGCCCAACCCCCCACCAGCCATGAGAGAGCCACACAGCCAAGCTCCAAGGCCACAGGAGATGGCATGGGTATAAGGAGGGGACAGATACCTGAGTCCTTTCTTAGGCAAAGTGTTCCTATCAAGGTGCGGGTCACTGTAGGAAAGTTAAAACAAAAACAAGAACTTCAGAGAAGCACAGGAGACACGGAATGGAAGGAAAGAAGGCTGCAGAGGGGCCAAAGGGCCCCTGAGAAAGAGGCCCCCAACACCAGCGACTACTCTTATCAAGCAACACATGCAACACATTTAGGAAGACAAAAATGAACCTAATCCTTGGCCTGAGCTGACCCAGGTACATACTTTACCTCAAGTCACCAGGTGGCCTGAGTTGCTCATCCCCAATTGTTCCTCCTTTTCTACAAGTTCAAAGTCAACTTGGGCTGCTCCATCCAGAAGCAGATCCCACCTCTGTGTCACCACTACCACCACCACCACCACAGCTCCTCTGAGAGAGGGACACTAGTTTCCCTGCACCCCTAACTCCACCCAACTAAATGCCACTGCATTGGCTTCAAGAGGGTGAAGGGACTTGTCAGAGGGTTTCAGGAGGCCAGCAGTCTGCATATTTGGAATTCATGTGTAACAAAGCGGATTCCAGGTCCCTCTCAGTTTCTCCCTACTTCTGCCCAGCAAGGGCGTAGCTGCAAGCTGAGCCCTGGGCGGGAGTCAGGGCATGTTACAACTTGCTGAGCAACAGAGCAAGGCATTTGGATTGCCAAAGCACAGGGTTTAAAGGCTTGGTTTGCAAGTCTGACAAAAACAAAGTTTTTGCTGTTGATGGGGTGAAGACGGTTTCCATTAATTCCTTTTTCTAGCATGAAACAACATCTGCTTGTTATGTTTGGCCAAGCCATCACTCCCCCACAAACTTAAGGTCAGAATCTATCTTTGAGGCCCACCCACAGCTGGGGGCAAACACAAGCTTCTTCGTTTGTAAAGTTTCAACACTCCACGAAGAACTCTAGGACATGGGCACACAGAACACAACACTCTGCAAGACATAATGAGCCAAACTGCAGCAAAGGACTTTGAAAGGGAGAAGAGCCAGCTGTGTAGGGAGGATTGGGGGTGGAGGGGACAGAGGTGAGGGCCAAGCTGCACAGTGGGAGGTAAACCACTTCTGGGCTGGGGTAGGGAAGGGCAGGAAGCTGGGAAGCAGGAACATGCCACAGGAGGTCACGGGAGATGACAGTGAGAGCTTCTGCTGTCCCCAGATCAGGTGGCAAGGTTTAAGGTGGCTTTCCCTGAGCCAGGAACAAAGGGCCATCCAATTCCACCTCTCTCTGGGCTTTAGCAAACAGCAGAGCAGACCCTCACTGGCATGTCTAGCTGTCACAGAAAACACCAGAGGCACAGACACAAGCAGAAGCCTCAAGCCAGCAGCCTTGCACAAAACATCTGGCTTAACAATGGACAGGCAGAGGAACCTACAGGTTCGGTAGGCCTATAATGTCTTTACCTGTCCTGTTTCCTGGGCAGAGTACTTCTGCAGAACTTAGGACTAGCAGCAGGGGAAGAGAGAGGGCTAGAAGTCCAGGCAGGTAGAAAACAAGAGAAGCAACATTAGATTGAAGAAAGAAGTGTCGTTACACAATGATCAGAACATTTTTCTCACTCCCAGTGCTGATCCCAGCTTTCTTCCCCGTGCAAAGAAAAGTAGACACCATCACTACTATGATGCAATCTAGAGCTAGCTCTTTGCACACTTTCAGTCTCATGATTTCCTCTCACGGTGGCCAGCAGCAATTTCGTGTGAGGGTGTTCGCCATGGCACCCAATCTACCCCGCTGCCTAGCAAATATCCAACCATACACTCCTCGGCTGTACAGGATCACCTACTCTCCTTATGCAATTACAAGGAGAGGGGAAAGACATGTCTGATGAATAAACAGAATAAAATAGAAAGATTTCAAAGGCTGAATGCATTTCAAATGGTAGTACAGATCTGACTCCAAGAGACTTCCAGTAGCTATAAGAATAACCACAGAGAAAAGAAGTAACAGGAAGAGGTAACAGCCAACTACATTCCATTCCAAACTGTTGTCCCCATGAAAGAGCAATAATTTAGAACAAGTGAACTGTCTTAGGCAAAGGCTAATTAACATCTGGGCTTCTAACCTAATCTCTGTACTACAGAAAGGGTATCTTCCTGAGAGATAAAGGCAGCCAGGGGCACAGCACCAACCTTTCCGACAGTGTGGTCTTCACACTGTTGGTTCGGACAAAGGGCGTCAGGGAGTCTTCCTTGGAGGAGGTGATCAGGCCAGTGGAGGAATTGTGACTCAGGCCCCCTCCACTCCCGAGGGAGATGTCAATGGACTCACAGCTGGTGTGCAGGCTGCTAACAGACTGGAATCCCAAGCCGTCCCTGCTCACTGCTGACGAGCTGCTGGCAGTGGTGCCCCAGGTAAGACTGTTGGAAGGGCCCGAATGGGCTGAGCTGGGGCTGGAGGCTAGAGGAGACTGGTTGAGGTCCATATTCTTACTGTAGAGAGGACTGCTGCTGCCACTGCTCAGGACGCCACTGCCCGAGGGGGACTCTAAGTTACCTTGCTGGGTCATGGTGGCATGAGGGTTGGAGATGACCACTGAATTTTTCATGTTTTCGGCTGTGGCGATGGGCACTTGCTTGGTAGGCTTTCCACCAAAGAGTCTGTGAAGAGACAAAGGGTTGTGTGGGATGAAACTCAGTGCCAGGGAATGCTGAGCCACTGAAAAAGGCTGGGGCACAGGAGGCAGTAAGATTCCCTGGAGAGGGAGGCAGTCTTTCCTGCTGAAATGGCTAGCTCCACTGGGAAAGCCTGACCATAAAGTGGGCCTGGACACTTGTACATCATAGGTGCCTCCTTCAAGTTCTAGGCTGCAGCTGAGACCCTGGCTCCCTCTGAGCCAAGGGTGATGGAAACAGTTTTCTACAGGCCTATCTACACTGGTTAAAGATCTTGGTTCCTTTTCTTTCTATAAATAGACTAACCAGAAATCGCCCTGGCCCAGGAGGAGAAAAAGGAAAAGTGATTCTAAGTCATCTTCAATCTACAACACCTGGCAGTAGGTTTACAAAAGTTCAGCTCCAAGGGACTTGATTTCTTTGACTTCTAAACACACACAAGGAATCAAGACCATTATTCTAGATCTGGAGGGGGCGTTTGAGAAGTATCTTCACAGATTTATTCTCAATGGAAAGGCCAACCTGAAAAGTATATCTAGAGAGCTTTTTTTTTTTTTTCCAATGACATACAAAGAAAGCTTGCTGGGATCACAAGACATTAGATAGCACACTGGGTACAAACTGTGTCTCTAAAACAGACACAGAAATGCCATTTTTCCTTTGATCATAACCAAAAATGTGCCGTTAATACAGGGAATGTATAACACCTCCTAACCCCCTTTCCACTGGCAGGGAGTTCCCTGGTGGAATGGTGGAACTTCAGAAGTCAGAGGGTGGGCCACTTTCTAGCAAGGCAAAGGCTCTGTTTTACCCACCGTAAGTGGAAGATAGAATAAGCATGTCTGAAAGGTGCTAAGACTACTGCATATTGTGACTGGTAGGTTGCATTTCATCCAGCTACCTGAAGTGATGTTCAGTTTGATCTCTGTCATCTCCGAACAGTCCTATAAATCTCAGTTATTTCAAACACAACCAACTATACAATTAATCAATCAATCCTCTGAAAGCAGAAGAGAAATACTCTTCCCTTGGTGATAACAAGGGAATGAAATATCTTACTGTAGAATCTTGGCTTGGAAGTTTACATACTTCCAGTGACAGGGACCTCACTGCTAAAAGGTAACTTGAAAAGAAAAAATAAATAAAAATGGGCAGGGGGGTGGATAAGGTAACTTGTTCCACTATCAAGCTATTTTAATTGTTAAAAAACCAAAATCTGATCCATCTTTTTTCTGACTTTCATGCACTTGCTCCTTATCCTGCTGTATATAACTATATAGAAGAAGTTTAATCTTCTGTCTGTGAGTGCTTCAAATCCTTGGAAGAGAGTATGGAGAAGCACGGCAAGAGAATTAAGAACACCTTAACAATATAGGAAATGTGAGATTTACCAGGAATGGGCCGAAAGGTACTCGGATGCAGAGTGAAAGGAGCTACATGCATTTTCATGTATTCTATTACTAGCCTGAGGGGCTAGTAAAATGCCTTTGTAGTCACCAAAGGAAATCTATAACACCAAAGAGTGAATATTACATACAATACTTGAGGCGAGAAGCAGAGAAAAATTTCATTTACAAGGCAATCTGTTAAAACAACAAAGAGCAGCCCAATAGGACCTTCCCCCTGAAAAAAATCATCATTACTGAAATTCTAATAATCAAGTCTAGACAAAGAACACTGGACGGCTGGCTCCATTCTTCCTACTATTCATGTGGAATGCTTCTTCTGAAGTCTTTTCAAACATTCCTGTTCATCCTCAAACATGTGCATCTAATTTTTTTTTTCTTCACTCCTTAAGTTTCCTGGGGACCTACTGGTTTTTTGGTTTTTTTGGTGGGATTGGGGTTTGAACTTAAGGCTTCTCACTTACAAAGCAGGCGCTCTACAGCTTGAGCCACACCTCCAGTCCATTTTGCTCTGGTTATTTTGGAGAGGGGTTCTTATGATGTATTTGCCAGGGCTGGCCTCGAACTGAAATCCTCCTGATCTCAGCTTCCCAAGTAGATAGGATTACAGGCGTTAGCCACTGGCATTAGCACCTATTCTTTCAGCAAGAAATGTCCTGGAAAGGCATGATGTGCTCTAACCTACACAGTTGCAGCTTCAGGATGGCCCAGGAGAAAATGAGATAATGTGAGCAGGAAAAACTTAACTGTTAAAAGCCAGTATTTCCATATTGAGGAATGCCACTAAGTGCAGAAATGTGGGGAAATTATGCCTTTTTAAGGTAATAAGTAAACGATTTCTCCTTTTTAGAAGTAGTTCTGGGAGAGAGGGAGGGGGCGGTGGGCAGGGGGAAGAAATGGCCCAAACAATATATGCACGTGTGAATAAATGGGAAAAAAAAAAATAGTTGTTCTGCTTTAAGACAATTAGGAAAAATTTGTAAATATTAGAGACTAAACTGGAGTCATGCATGTAGCATAAAAAAGAATGTGAGGATATTCAGATTAGTGCCCGTCATGAGGAAGCTCAGCCATAGAGCTAATCAAGAAAAGAAAAAAAATAAATAAATCTGCTTCCTTTGAGCTATTTATCCTGGTCTAAGAGTGTATCAAGACTTCATCTTGAAGGGGGTAAGGGGGGTGGGGGGAAGGGAAGAGGCGGAGGAAGGGGGGAGAAATGACCCAAACATTGTATGCACATATGAATAAAAGTAAAAAAAAAAAAGAAAGACTTCATCTTGGATCACAGCTTTCATTAAGTACATGAATTTTTACAAGAATCCTGAGAAAAGTGTATCATTCCCATTTTATAGATGAGGAAACTGAGGCAAAATTAAGAACAGTGACATGGTGGCTAATTAAAATGGACTTAGGATTTGAACAAAGGATGACTAATTCCAGAGGTTTGTGCTTTTCATCTCAACACGAGAAAAATAAAATCAACTACGAACTTGATGGCAAGAGCTGACTAAGCAGCTTTTACCCTAGAATTGATATGAAGGAACAACAGAGGTTGCTTTAACTAAGGACCAGGAAATTTGTGATTCAGGGTACCATTCCACGAGCTCCAACCCTGCTGCATTCCACGTGTTTGCCTACTTACCTGCGGAGCGTGGGAGAGGCCACATCTGGGTACTTGGCTCCTGGCTGGAGCGTGGCCTGAGCTGAGGTGGACCCAGGTTGGGTGGCTGGGTTCACTTTCACTGAGTTACAGGAAGCGACACTCTCATTGTCTGACGAGATGCCTTTTTCCTTATCTGTCTGGTTGACCAGCCCTGGCAAAGAGCTACCTAGGGCTGTTCTGGAAGGCTCCCTCAGCTTGGGCACTGGCAGGCCCGCTGACTTGCTGCTGATGTTGGAATCTATGCTGCTGGTGCTAGACCTGTTACCAGCCCCATTCCGGCTGTTGGACTTACTGGGCCTTGGCAAACTCCGGTACTGTAAATTAGTCCGGGAGCTGAGAGACAGATACCCATCGTCCTGGTTCTGAGCTCCATCCATGCTTGTCTTCCGGCCTGTTGACCGGCCAGCAAGAGCTGATGACTTTGGGATTTTGCCCAGTGTGGCTGATCTGCTGGTGACAGTGGCCCCACTGGCTGTGATCATGGCCAACCCGGCAGCTGAGCCACTCTGCTTCTTGAACCCAAAGTTGTTGGCATTGGCAGTGGGCATTCTGGAGCTGCTGGGCAGGGGCTTTTTGGACTCATCACCACTGCTGCGGCCCGCATCTGATGGGGAGCGCTTCACCTGGGAGGCTTTGGGTGAAAGCCTTCCCTTCTCAGACACCTTGGCATCATCTGTTTTTCCTAAGAGAGGGAGAAATCAGCAAGGTTAGGCCCCTCCAGCCAGTCTGTTTAAAAAGCTCCCCTCCTCTGAAGAATGTTTACCCTGGGGAGAATGAGGAGAGAGCTTTTGAGAAAGATAATTTAGTCTTCTAATGTCACTGTAAGCCTTTTAGGAGGTGTCGATGATTTTACTCATTTTCGAAGCATTCTAAATTGACCCAGGATAAAGCAAAGACAATCACCAATATGCTGGGGGAAGGGTGCAAAAGAGATCTGCCTTTTACTGACCTTTCGCCCTCTGGCCATGACATTTCCAGGACTAAACTTCTGCCCTGTTTGCCCACATCACTAAATCATGCACAACACAACTCACCATGCTACCCTTGAACAGTTTGAGTAGTCACATTCAATATATAGTTAATCCAACCAGCATGTCTCCATGGGGCTCACATTAACCTTTAAGAAAGCTGGTTGTTAGCAGAGAATAAACCTAAAGAGGTAACCTGCAATGTCAAGTCCTTGCTGGAGCTACTATGGTCACAACTTTTAAACTGATGAAGCGGGGAGAAATGACCCAAAAATTGTATGCACATATGAATAAAACAAATAAATAAATGAGTAAACTGACGACTGCAGATCCAAAATAGCGCTGGCTTCTTACTCACCAGTTCCTGGGGTCTTCAGTGTGCCTGCCGGAGCAGATGGCTTTGTCCTTGGCATTGTGATGCCCACCTGGGCTGTCATGCCTCGCCGCCACGAGCCTGTCTGGGAGATGACAGGATTCTTCTTGCCCGATGTGCTTTTGTCAGACTCATCAGACACGTCAGAAGGATTCCGCCTCCACTTGGATCCGGGCTCCATCTTTATGCCGCTGTCTGACCCTCCATCTGATCTCTTGATGTCATCACCAGACCACAGGGAATTCCTTTCCACCTGTGAGTGTTTCTCGGCATCTGTCTGTGGACAGACTTCCAGAATTAGTGCTCCCCAAATCCCAGGCAAGGGAGCCCCTCACTCCAAAAGCAAAAAAAAATTGCCAATACACTAATCTAGTTAAGGGAAAAATACTAGATAAGTACTTTCAAAAAGTTTGGACTTATTTGGGTTATCTTGTTAGAAAGCCTAATTTTTTGGGGGGAGGGGTCCCAATAATATAAATGGACTCTTAGAAGGAGGTGAGGGAGGAGTAACGGGGGCAGGAGAAAAGGAGAGAAGGATCCCTAGGCAGGACAGCCTAACAGAGCCACCACCTCTGACACTTGGAGACAAGCCTCCAGCCCCAGCACTGGATATCTAACAAGCATCCAGCCTCTCCTCCGCTTCCCTTTGTTCTGCTGCCTTCCTCGCACTCCACTGGCAGCGCCACAGTGAGCACACTGAATGTGGGAGCTGCAAGCGAGGGTGGCTGCTAGTTCTACTGGAATCAGCGGGGGAGCCCCGGCTGAGAAGAAACAAATCCTCAGCTGGCAGTGGTTCCGCTCCAACCCCAGCTTCATTTAAATGCCACTGCTTTGCTCCCCTTGTGTGGTTTTATTCAGACAGGGATATAATTAGCTGGCTTTCTTTGGAGGAGCCCTGACCTGCTGGCCATAGAACCCAGAAGGGGACAGAGGGATGATGTTAATGATTTGCTGCACTAAAATCCAAGAGGGAGCCAGAATGCCTTGGCCCCCCTGGGTTGAAGAGAGCAGGAAGATTCCCCGGAGGGAAAAGCAGCATCATGAATGGGAAGGGGGGGTCAGACTGGCTACACTGAGTCTGAGTCCCATACTTAACTAACAAGAGTGGCACCCTCAGCAACTTAAAGTGAACCCTTGGCAAGGACCTGGCTTAACATGTGCCATGCAGGAGCAGTACAAAATCTTTCTCTGTTGGATCCAACAACTAAATGGAACAGAAGCTAAATAAGACAAGCAGCCCAAGTTTCTCTCTCTCTCTTTCCATCAACCATTCCTCCCCTTATGAATTCCACCTATTCACTACAGCCACCTTATGGGTGCTGGTACTTCTTCAACACCACAGATAGGCTGTGAAGACGAAGCACTAAAATACACCCCCTGCTTGTGGAAGTCCATCACTTAGCAGTGCAGGGGACAAAGAGTTGAGGGGCCCCATATCCAGGCACAGAGTAGGAGCTCAGCCAAAGTTTGATGAGTAGATGAATGTGATAAATACCTGCCAGCCAGGCTAGAACACACTTTAACAAAATGATTTCATCAGATCCCAGCTGCCATCTGGCCAAGAAGGCTAAGGGGTTAAACAGTATCATCTTCATTTCAGTTTTACAGGTGAGTAAAACTGTCTCAACTTCCTCTGCCCAGGTTCTCTTGCTCCTAAATATTTCTGGTACATTCATTCAACAAGAATGGACTCAATGCCTGCTGCTAAACAGACACCAAGGGGGGACTGAGAATCTTTGGGTAAGACTGATTCCTGCCAATTATGAAGTTTACAATCAGTGAGGGAGGCAGAGATTCAATAAACAAGCACAAGTAAATGTGTAAGCATGAATTATGGAAAAGGTAAGGCATCTGGGAGAAAAGTAGAAACAATGAACTATCTAGACTGTGATGATGGGGGTAGAAAGTGGTGGTCAGTTAGGAACTTTTGGCAGAAGAACCCAAAAGCTTGAGAAGAAACTTCGTGACAGCAGAGCTTAGGAAGAGCAGTATTCCAGGCAGCATGCAAGTGCAAAGGCCCTGAGGCTGTGGAAGCGTTTCCTGGGTGCCACTATGTGCTGGGTAAGCTTATTTGCACTGGGAATACTGCAATGAACAAATTTAAATCCTTAACCTCCTGAAGCTTATATTTAAGTGCATTCTAGCATATTCTAATAAGTTTAAGATGTACTGAAAACATATTTAGGGCTTGAGGGGAGGTGGCTCAAGTGAGAATACCTGCCTAGCAAGCACAAGACCCTGAATTCAAACCCACTACCACCAAAAAGCAAATAAACAACAACAACAAAAAACCCTAATAGGGAAGTATTAACATTCTCAATTATACATGAGAAAACTGAGGCACAGAGTGGAAAAGAAAACTGCCCAAATCACACAGTGAGGAAGCAGACATGTAGGGATTCTAGGTTGTCTAATTGCCAAGCACACGTTTTAACCACACTGCTTTCCTTGATTGTAAGGATCAAGGAAATGAGAATTTCTCCATACCCCATAGTACCTAATAAAAATACCTGCACCTTTCATACTGGCAGGCTGGGGGTCTGTGCCTCAAGACCAGCCCTAGAAATGCTATGGCCCACCAGTGACAGAGCGTGCACAGCCCTGACCCAGAACCATGGCTTGACTCTCTCCCCCTCAGAAGAACGGTCCTCCAACCACCACATCCCACCTTAACTTGGTCTCGGGCAATAGCTTTCCCAGCTTTACTCAACAGCTAGGCATTTGCGCTCGGACATTCACACCCCTTAACAAATCCTTCCTGAGCTATGTGCCAAACCTGTAGTGGCATTTCTTGGGAGTCAAAAATGAGTAAGTCCCAGCTTCTCTGTTCCCAGAGCTTGCAAGAGGCCAACTATACAGGGGTAGAGAGTTCTAGTCTCCTGTCCCCAGGATGCCTGTGCTGGCTGCTCCCCCTCCAAGACACTTCCTTCTGAAGGATTTTCTTACTGCCTCTATTTGGAAATCTCCTTAATCATCCAATAGCTAAGTGGGAAGGTGAGGCATGAGCCAGAAGAACCTCAGAGAAGAGGCCAGTTTACCAAGAGCATATGGTGGACCCAAGGAGAGACCGAAGGAGTGGGAGGCCTAGCATGATGTGGGGGCAGAGCAATCAATGGCTTTGGAGTCTGACAGACTTGAGTTCTGGTACCAGTGGTGCCACTTACTGGAGGAAGTCCCTTCCTTTCTCTGCCATTGTGTACAAAACAGGGTTGCTACTAAACAGGTCTCTCAGAGAGCTGAAGGTAAACCTAACGAGCTAAAGGTGGAGAGATACCACATACAGCAGCTCTTTTCACCACCAAACTCACTCCCCTGTGAAAATCCCCAGTGCTCTGTGTCCATCTTTAGCATCTGTCCCACTGTGTCTTGCATTAGGATGAACAGGAAACTTGTCTCCCTGTTTCTGGGCCACAAGCCACCAGACATCAGGGACATTTCCTCACCTGCAGATCTACATGGTAAACTGGCTGAAGACTTTTTGTTTTATTTTTTAGTGGTAGTAGGGATTGAACTCAGGCCTTAAGATTGCTAGGCAAATGTTGTACTGCTTAAGTCATGCCCCCAGCCCTGTGGCCAAAGTTTGAAATAATTACTGCCAGCAGCAGCAGCATCTGTCACTTGTTTCCTCTTTACCTGCAGGCTACTGTTATTATACATATTTTACAGACCTCAAGTGAAAACACAAGTTTGAAAAGGAATGGTAACTTGCCCAAAATCAGAATTAATAGCTCCTAGCAGGTGGGCAGAAGAGACAGTCCTCTTGCCCCTAGCAAAATTTATCCTCACATTCAGAGGGCCTGTGGAAGACTGGAGGGTCATTCAGGGCCACACAGAACAAAAAATATCTCACCAAATAAATCAGGATTTTAATTCCTTGAGAAGCAAAAATAAACTGACAAAGAAATTATCTTTTTTCCCCTGATTTTTTTTTTTTTTTTTTTTTTTAAATCTCACAGGGGCCCAGTGATGTCTCATGCCGATAATCCCAGCTACTTGGGAGGCAAAGCTAGGGGGATGGTGTTTTGAAGCCAGCCCCTGGAGCAAAAATGAAAAAAGAAAAAGAAAAAGTTAGTGAGATCCATCTCAAAGAACAAGCTAGGCATGGTGGCTCAGGCCTGTAATCGCAGCAGAAAGTGTGAGACTGTACTAAAGTAACTAAAAGCAAAAAGGGGTGGGAGACGATGTTCAAGTGGTAGAGCACCTGCATACCAAATGCAAGGCCCTGAGTTCAAACCTCAGTATGCCAAAAAGAAGGAAATCTTTACAAGTACTTCTTCACACCTCAGTACCTGTATCAGTACTTCCCACAAAGCTGAGAGGAAACCTTAAGTGGTCATGGATGACAATGCATATATGAATACATGTGAGCCCAATGTGTGCCTGTTAAAAGTCCTCTGCCACCAGCACATTGTTCCCCAAATAAAATACTGCAAAGTATAAAATGACTTGCTCTGAAATTAGAACTACATTAAGAACACAAACTTTTTTAGACCCTGACATGAATGCGAGAGGGAAGCAGAGAGACAGGAAATCCAGACGAAGAAGGGAGGGAGGAAGAGGGAAAGGGGCGGGGGGAAGAAGAGGGTGGAATTAATTTCTGAGCAACTATCCAGTCTCATGTGCACCCTTCATGATAGGTCTAATTGCTATTATTTTATGGATGAGGAGACAGAGGCTGGGGGGTTGACTGCCTTACCCAAGGGTGTCACAGAGTGAGGAACTCAACCTGAGACCACCTGATTTCAATGTTACCCTCCTCTCTGATGCCACTGTTGGCTACACATCGGACCCACCAGCTCTCCTGGGGCCTCCTGCACAGGGCTCTGCCCACCACACTGAAGAACAGTGAGCACAGAGGCCTGGTGCCAGTAGCTGCTCACATAATGCCTGTGGGACACCCTCAGCACTGCTCAGTGTCCCTGAAAAAATGGAGTCCCCCACAGACAAAGGAAACCTCCATTCCCAACAACAGCTTCTCTGTTATTCACCTCCTCCTGCTCTTTCCATCACTACACGAGGCTGCTCATCAGGTTTTCCCGAAAATAACTTCCCTATTTCTCAGATGTGAAACCCAGGGAGGCAGCCTGTCCTCAACTGGCTTTCCCCATGGATAGATGGAGTCACTTTTTGCTTCTCTGTGTCCAGCCTGGTGGACTGTGTGCTGCCCACTGGCCCAGGGTAAACCAGCATGTGACAGGAACCTGAAAGAGTGCAGCACAGAAGGAGTGGCTCTGAGGAAGGGTGCAGTGCACACTGCCCTGCTGCAGGATGCCACTCAGAGAGGAGTAATGGCCCTTAGCATTCCTCACAGTGGTGTGAGGGGAGGGGAGGGGAGGAAACGGGAGGGGGCAGGAGGCTGCGAATTATGCTGATTCAAAATATTTTGAGATGCTCCCTGGACAGGAACAAAGGCAATGTCACTAAAAATCCACTTAAAGACATCATGGCAATAAAAATCTCAGTCACTGCTGGTAAAAGTCTGAATTTCTGCAACCCCAAGTCCTATACCTCTGCAGTTTTTATTTTAATATTTTAAACTCAGGTAGATTTATAGGGAAAAACTAGCCAATGAATACTAAACATCCTATATCCTTTAAAATAACTTCTGATGGTCACCGGTTAAACAGTAATCACTCTGAGGCAATGTGGCTTAGAGTTTGTTTTTTAAATAAACTTGTATATTTAGGTATAATATTGTTATAGTGATACTACAGCTTGAATGTTTTATGAAATAAGATACCTGCATGGCTGCCACTCAGATCAGGATACAGAGCACTTACCCCCCAAAACTTTGTGCTCCCTCATCGTCATTGGGTAGTATCGCTTTTAAAAAAATACAACCACCACTCCCCCTCTCCTCCCTTGAAAATTGCAAATTCTGGCTAAGGTGAGGATGCAAGACGTAACAAGCAATCCCACAGGCAAAAACACCTAATACACTTCATCAGGCAGTCAGCATCTCCAGTGCCCCCACCCCCATAGTACTGATACAGCCTTTCTCTAGACTATCCTCAAAGAAGAGACAACTTTGAAACAAGATTTCTAAACAGTCCCTATCTGAACAATAGTAAAAAGTAGCAGAGAAAGGAAGAGAATGTGGGATGGAGTGAGCGAACAGAGGGGCTGTGTATGTTCTGCTGTGCCCCAGGTTGCTTAGGGAGCCTGTCCCAGTCAGACTTTAGTTCACCCAAGACAGCAGAGTTCACCAGAGGAAGGGACAAATCATGGAAAAGGTTCACCATGCCAGCACCACCACGGTTGATCAGTCCTCATGTTGGTTGGCCCTGACCTGGGGACGAGCTGTAAGGATAGCACTTTTCCAGCAGTAAAATGGTCTTCTGGAACCTTATTCACTGTCCACCACTCAGGAATGGGCCCACATGAAAACAGTGTTGTATTTGGAACATAAAATCTGAGAGTTTAAAGTAGGGGTTGAAAACTCAAGTGCTTCAGGGTTAGACAAGTGTTTTGAAGTTGTGCAGCTGGTTGGCGGCTGCTGTGACACACAGGAGCATAAGGGATGTGCCTAAAGGACACTTCGACATCTGCTGACTGTTCCCACATAGAGCAATAGTGTCTCACTTTTAAAGAGAAACCAGAAACACATTTTCAGGTGAAGTAATGCAATCTTAGTAATTGACATGGGGTCCTGCTTAAAAGAAGAGCAATACTATAGGCCAAACAAAACGCATCATCTGCGGGATCTTGACACACGGATGGATGGTGCACAGATGGATAGTTCCCAACCTTAGGCCTGGATGGTGTGTGGTTCCCAATCTCTATTTGCACCCCTTCACTCTCGAGAGATCGGACATTCGCCCAAGGACAGCAGAGGCTCGCTGTGGCAAAGAGGAGACTCGATCTAGGCTCAGATCTGCCAATTGAGCCCAACATCATTCCGTTTGTTTTTATAAACAGATTGTAAAACTGAGGCCCAGGGAGGAACGGTGCCTCCCAAGTCCACAATGATGAGACTGGTGAGACCTCCTTATCCCTATTTCCCCTGCCTCACTGCCTGGCCCCCTTTCTTTACAGGTAGACGCCAGAGTTGAGGAAATGAGAGCTCAGGGAGCTGAAGGCTGAATCTCACCTCACCAACCTGAGGATTCTGCTTACCCCAACTGGCCTCTCGGCCCATAAGCCCAAGACTCTGGGCTGCAGGGCCACTGGAGGAGCCTGGAAGGGCCCTGTGTTCCTTACCTGCACATCCAGGTTTTTTCGGGAAGAGGCAGGTGTGTTGGCATAGGAGCTGATGGAGGAGCTGGTGTTGATGTCATCCGTACTGAGGTTGTCTATGGTGTCACTGATGCCACTGCTGACGGAGCTGCTATCATCCCAGCTGCCAAGACAAACACATCCTGAGCACCAAAACCTCACGTCCCTCAGCTCAGGCTGACAATGCAGACAAATGCATACTGTCCCGGAAAAGGCCCAGTCTGTGTCATAATGTCTCAGACAAAGCTCTTTTGCCTCGGATGTGACTCATTTCCAAGGGCATTTTCCATTCTTGTTCTTTTAAGTTGGCACCTAGGTGAAGGCTGATATGTACCTTCCCAAAAAAGTGGGTGCTTCCAGGAGCAAAGGAGGCTACAGACACTATCCATGCCCTGCCCCATCGTGCCCTTCACCTTGGGAACTTTATTAAAGGCATTGCTCCTCCCCAGGCCTAGTGGCAGCGCAGGAGCAGTGAGTTTAGGAACTAGAGCTGCAAGCACACAGGGTAAGATCCAACATGGGCCCCTCCCCTGGGGTCAGAGGGGCAGAAGAGCTGTTGTGTGAATTCTCTGGACTCCACCCCAGAACAAAGTGCCAAGGGAAGGAAAGTACAAGTCAGCAGAAACCTGCCTGTTCTATTAATAGTTCTAACTTGAATAATATCCCAGAATACATCTAGAGTTCTTCATTTTCCAAGCCTCAAGTTGATTAAGGTCCTCCCCTAGCTGCTCAAGCCAAATCTATTAGCAATGATCCCTAATTCTTTTTTCCTTCTGATTGTCTCCCCATCTCCCAATACCACCACCACATTTAGTCCCACCACCTCTCTTCACAAAATGTATCCAAATGTGTGTAGCTCTCTGTACCTCCTTGTCACCCTGCCATTCAAGGTGACTGCAAACAGGCCAGCTGGTCTCTGTTCTGCTTCTGGTCTGAACAATCTATTCTCCCCATGGCAGCCTGAATGACCTTTGTTAATGTAATCAGAGCCACTGTTAATACCTCAAGTTGCCTCCAAACTCCTAAAATGGCCCTCAGGCCCTCTGATCTGGTCTCAGATCAGTCCTGTCTCAGCCCTCTGTATCTGAGCACTGGCTCTGATCACAAAGGCCTTTGTCCCTTTCTAAGGGGAGACTGTTTTCATTTTCAAGGCTTTGGCTTGGTTGTCACTGCCTCCTTAGTTTTTTGTTTGTTTGTTTGTTTTTGTGGTGGTACTGGGATAAGCTTCACACTTGCTAGGCAGGCGCTCTACCAGTTGAGCCATTCCACCAGCCCTTTTTTGTGTTGGGTATTTTTTAAGATAGGGTCTTGTGAACTATTTGCCTGGCTGGCTTCGAACCGTGATCTTCTTGATCTCTGCCTCCTAAGTAGCTAGGATTTTACATAGCTGGTGGAATGAACCACCAGTGTGCTATCTTTCAGTTCTTACCTGAAGTGTCATCTCCTTACAAAGGCCACCCCCTATTTCCCAACCACCCCATTGCACTCTATCACCCCACTCTATTGTATTTTATCATTTGGGGGGCGGCAGGTATACAGCAGGTGCTCACTAAAAATCTGCTGAATGAAACTCATGGGAGAAGTTGAGGATGCTATTGAGTAAGCTTCCTACACCAATGTGACACTGTTCTAGTTGATCTAGTGACAACAGGTAAGTTTTATTGTTTTTCTATTATACAAGTGGAGAAACAAGTGGCTTAGAAAGATGAGACACCGTGTACAAGGTCAGACAGCTAGAAAGAGGTGGAACAGATCAGGACTCAGCCAACTGACTCCAGAGCCACACTGCATACACCAGACAGCTTTCTACTCTGTCAATCCTTCATCCAACCAGACATGACATGGCTCACTTCCCCAGGAGGAAGCCAAAGCTGGTGAGGCCAGGGACATGGTTCAGGGCCACACAGGTAGAAATAACAGGTCCGATGCCAAAGCAGTGACTTAACCATATTATTCTTCCACTTGGCCTTCCAGAATGAGTCTTACTGGCAGCTTCGCAAAGGGGCAGCAGGAAGTCTGGGAAATGCTGGGTGGCTGAGATTTCAAAGTCAGGAGCACCTTCTACATACAAACACTCCCCCCAAAAGAAGCTCTAACTCATTTCATCAGTTTGTGAGGCACCTGCTTCTACATCCTGAGTTCTGCCCATCAGGGAGGAAGTAAAGGCTTACTGAAAACCTGCTTTCATCCCCATTTACTTCAACATTCCATTTGGCTTCTAAGCCAACCTGGGTCCCACAAAAGTAGGGGAAACATGTGAGTGTGATTTCCAATAGGGATGATGGAACATGAAGTGAGGGCTCCAAAGGGGAATTATTGTGGATGAATTTACAGGGGTCCAAAGGGTCATATGCCCCATGAACTTAGCAAACTTCACTCATGTCATTCTACTGCATCTGTCTAGCCTTCCCCCTCACATTTCAGATTCTCCTTGTTAAAGCCTTCTTCAAATACTCCAGCCCACCCAAGTCCTCCCCTACTTTGAGCAACTGTCTAGCTCCACACGTCTGCCTCTGCTTTTAATCACTCTGACAAGTTTTTGGATTATTCTTTGTATAAAAGTTCATTCTACCTTGCAAACATATGTAGCAGCCCACTTACTGGTGACAACTGAGTGCTTACCACAAATCAGGCATCATGCCAGAAGCTTTCAATATACTATTAAATCTTTCTCCAATCCTCTTATCATATCTGCAAGTTGGGTGTTTTCCAGCCTGTTTTACAAATGAAGAAATCAAGGCTGAAGAACAATGTCATTCGGTCCATGTTGGAATTGGTTTGAAGAGGCAAAAATTGTCTAATTTCAGAACATGTGCTCACTCTAGTCTTTATCCTTCTGCCTTTCACAGCAACAATGGTCATTCACTGAGCACATGCCACTGGGCAACTTTTTGGCACTTGCACATTCTCTCACCAATCCTCACATTCACTCCTATAAGTGGCCATTGTCCCATTTCCTCTGTGATGAGCAAACTGAGGCTGAGAAGTGTCAGGACAAGGCTGTAGAAAGGTAAGCTTATTTTGTGGGTCCTGTCCCCTCTAACTCCAGAGGCACAGCATGAATTCCTGACTGAATTCACATGTGGAGAGGAGATAGGACAAGTTCCTGAGGCAAACTCACCCCCGGGTCCCTTGCCACTTAATTCTTTGTCAGGTCACAACTTCTGTGCCTCGGTTTTACCAAGGCTGGCAACCATATGAAGATCTGTTGGGAGAAGCACGCATCACAAATGGAAAAGGACTCAAATTTCCTCTCATGGTTGAAAGAAAATCCCATGGATCTTTTATTGCATCTGCTCTTTTGGGTTAGGAATTTAGTGTATCTAAAATTTCTTATAATCTGACAAAGAAGAAAGGGGATAGGAGCAATGTGGCTGGTAGGGAGGAAGGCGGGAAGTTAGTAACAGATGCCTATGAATCCAAGCCCCAGATTTTGTGCTTTGAAATTGTACCCGCTCTTCCCCATGGCCTTTCCACACCATGACATTATTCTATTCCAGAAGGTCATGTGGCACTTGACACACACAGGTCCCTCCCCCATAGGTACACGGAGTGTTAGGAGGCTTACCCTGGATATACAGGAAGTCCTTGTAACTGAGCCAGCCAGAAGGAGGGAAAGACAGTGACACAGGGAACCCCATGTCGAGCAAGAGTGACCTTTATATTGCCCAAAGCTGTCTATGTGCCAGAAAGCAAAGCTGTGCCTGCATATGAAAATCAGCCACATTTCCCTCACCTCTGGATCTCTAGACACTGGCCAGTCTATCTATCTGGATAGCAAAATCACTTAGTTCCCAATTGTCCTTTGCCCAAAATTCAGGGTACAAATGGTCAGGAGCTACCAAGATTAAGTCAGTGAGTTCCATGATGCAGTCTAAGAAAATCTAGTTCTTTGAGCTGCTCTGTAAAAATAATATTGTCCTAACAAAGAAACATGGGGGCTGCTGCCCCTCTATCCCTCTCAGAGATTCACACTGTGTATGAGCGTCAGAACATCTATGATGTCCACTACTGAGCTCTGTACCTTTGCCTAAGGTAACACTCCCTGTATTTACAGAAACACAGTGGAGATGCTAAGAAGAACGAAAAATACAAGCATGCACATGAAGCCCAGAACTGCCAGTGGCAACCTGATTCCCACCGCCTGGAAGGATGGTAGCACAGAGCCAGGAAGAAAGGTGGGAGGAATGGAAGTATCCCTTTGACATCTCTGCAGCTCCTGCATCTAGCCATACCCAAAACCAAAACCACCTTGGGAGAATGTGAGAAGTGATAAAGTCTCTTCTTTTGTTCAAAATTAGTTTGTGTAGGTTTTTGTTATTTGATACATGCCTGCTTGCTAACAAGGATCACAACTGTCATGGCTGAGAGTCAGACATGAAAAATATGGAAAGCATGCAGAATTCAACTTAAACCTGAAGGACAGTAGTTGAATCAGTCAAGTGGCAAAAGAAATTAGGTACAACCTGGGATGAGGTACAAGAGTCCATATACCCAAATCGAGTGATCGATGCTGAAAGAAGTTACAAATAGTGACTAATGTTAAAATTTCAAAGAAAACCAGAGTCTGTGTTTACTGTGTGGTGATGGAACAGAAAACCAGTGAAGAGGCCTTGGGGATCCAATGACACAGCAGAAAGAACCAGTGCATTCTACCATGGCTCAGAAACAAACATTCTGGAATATGATTTGAACATTCCTGGGTCCTGGCCCTAAATCTGACTGAGAAAAAACCATGTCATAGTCCTAAATCCACCTCAGGACCACCTACTACCTGTAGTTGGGAGTGTGTGATTTTAAAGCTTGGGAAAGGTTTAAAAAGATAAACGATAATAAAATGAATGAACATAGGAATATGTTAAGGTTATGATTATAGCTGTGTGATCATTGGATTAATTTCTGCATTTACAACGTGGCATATTAGAGGATATTATAAATATCATTTTTTTAAAAAAGAGTGTTGAGATTTTTAAGATGAAAGATTCAAATATTGGATTAAGATTGCAAAAAGAATGAGTATGACTGCAATCTCAGTACTCAAGAGGCTGAGGCAGGAAGATCACAAATGAGTTCAAAGCCAGCCAGGACTACATAGCAAGTTTCAAGCCAGTCTGAGCAACATGG